TTGTCAATTGCATCTTGGCTACCCTTTAAGGGAGCTACAAGGTATTCCTGTCTCCAAATGAAGCCAGGTTGAATGTGGTACCCGAGAAAGATACCGTCTTCGGCCTTTGGGTCGAACTTAGATGCATTTGTGATGTTCTCTTTGGGGTTGTTCCAATAAAGAACCTTGGCACCAAAAGGAATGAGCTTACCGCTAAACCCTTCACCGAACCTTTCGTCCCATGGGATCTTCGCGGTGTCCATCCTTTTGGACAAGTTTAGAGCCATAGTGTGATGTTGAGCAGCTAAGGGCCAGAGCTTCGTTGGAAGTCCTGCCTGCAGCAAGTTCGCCCGTGTGCCCTCGAGCACAGTTCGGATCTCTCTCTCAACAACAGACTTGCTCTCATCGACGTAAGGTCGTGAGGTGTTGTGACGAACTTTGTATTTTCCAGTAGCATTCTTGAGTTCGGGGGCGTTGTCGGAGTAAATGATCCCTGGTTCATCATCTACAGTGAAGTAGTGCAACAGGCAATCATAAACCTCTTCCGACTCCTTCGTACCTGCAGGGTACACATAACGAAAGTTAGTGAACACGTCCTTAACCACAAGAGCAACTTTCTCACCTTCAATCCCAAAATCACGCAAGTCCTTGGTCACAATGTGATCAATTGTCACGTGGTCTCCGAACTTCTTCGAAAAGATAGTGGAGCTCCCCCCTCGCTTTCTGGCATGCGGCGCTAGCATTTTGGCCTTTTGGCATACCTTGCAGAAAGGGTTCTTAGGACGGTGGGTGAATTTGTGCTCCGGGCTGTTGGCCTGCAGCTTGAGCTGGGCTGAACGTTTTTCGTCCTTTGGGTCAGCTTCAGCTTCTCTTTCGCTGTCAGGCTCCGGCTCGGGGTCATCAACAGGTCTTTTAAAGATCGTTACACTGAGAATGCAGGCATCAGAAGGGAGCTTGGCTACCCGATTGTCCAACGTCCTTACATCCACGTCTTTTTCGATCTCCTGCCATTTCTTGACATAAGTCCAAGTACTCCGGATGACGTGCTTTGGAAACCTTGTAGCAGGCGTTCTAAAGGTTTTGGGAAAGTGCCCCACGATCATCTGTGGAAAGGAAGGATGCGAAACCCAACCTGGTTTGTTCAAGTACTCCGCCTTTATGCCTAACGGAGCAGCCTCTTTCAGTGCTTTTTCGATCCTGGGGTCGAGGCCATTGCCCGAGGATTCGCCTTCCGGCTCGGATTCTGCTGCATTGGCGTGCCTTAGTAGGCCGCTGAACGGGGAAAACCCGATGTTGCCTGGATGACTGGCGAATGAGCCGCCTTCTCATCCTTGGCGGGAACAGCGATTGTACCATCCCCAATTACCGGGACTCGCCCGCGCAGCTTGCAGTAAAGTTTCCGGCCTTCGGGTGTCACGAAGTAAGGCGTCTTCCCTGCGTACCAATGGAAATCAAAACCCTCGTCCATACATCTCCTACCAACAGAGCACACCGGCGGCGTTGAATCTAGCACGTAGCATTCGAGGATTTTGTTGATTTCAGGGACCTCAAGCTTAACGGCTTCATTACCTTTTACCGGCCCATTGGCGGTGATCAGAGAGACAGGACGTGAGGCAGGTTCTATGGGTACGTCGGGGAAGTGAGTTCTGCAGTCCGACTTGCTGATGAGGTCCTCTTCACTTCCGGTATCCGCTAGGAATTCTAAGCCGGGGACCAGACCTGCACATGACGGACGTGCAAGTCGCTCGCACTCCTCGCAGAGGAAGCCTTCCTCCATGCATTCATACCCGCATCCCGCAGGCGTGTCGTGAACCATGCATTCGATCATGGTGGCAAACTGCTTTGCCCACACAAGAGCCCTCTTCAGATCCTTAGGATTCGAGCGTGGACATTTCTCGACAGTGGGATAGACTTCATCATAAACCCTGGGAAGGTAGGCATGCTTTCTCTGCTTTCCTTCCGGTTCGATGGCAATCATTTCTACTGTGCTGTCGAAACTCACCTTAGGGAGTTCTTGCATGTAGAAGATCGTCTTTCCTACCCATGTGCTGCCGGGTCCTTTGGTTGGGGTCTTCCTCCAGTTGTAGATCTTGTTTCCAACAAAAGGGGAGACCGGCAAAACCTGCTCGAGCTTAGCTTGGCTCCTAAGCTTCTTGGGGTTCACAGGACATGAATTGTCAGGAACATACCAATCCGTTCGGTACTTCTTGTGATGGCGGATGATTTTGTTGCCGGTGAAGTCTACCTCCCAGTAGTCCTCGTCATGTGACGCTGCCATAGCGAGCTTTGGCGAGATCTCAAAATCCGCTGTATTCTCGAACGCGATGGCGCATGCGGCCGTCTTTGGAGCCTTGTCACTTGACTTGGCCCTGGGACTTCTCCCTCTGCGCGGGGCAGGGGAGTTGGCCCTAGGTGACCCTGGCTTTGGAGCTGCCGGGGCGGCTTCGGACTTGGGTGCGGGAGCTGACGGCTTCTCTACATCCTTATGCTGGAACCGACATTTGTCACCCTTGTTGCAGTTGCCTTCTTTCCAGAACTTGCATGTCACGTTGATTTTCTTCTTTTGTTTGTCGCCTTTGGGGGACAATGATCTCTTCTTGTGAAGGAAAGGGCAGTTATTGCCTCGCTTGCAAGTTCCTTTGAGGAAATCGTAGCATACTCCCTTTGGGCTAGGTGTCCTAGGCTTGCTGGGAGACTGGGATCTACCTTTGCTGGGTGATCTTGGCCTTGGGCTCTGCGATCTGCCACGGCCTCCTCTTGAAGAGGGGCTGGAAGTTCGGCCAGGAGACTTTGAGGCAGGGGCACCGTACTTATCTCCGTGAGACCTTGCGATGCGGTCACGGTTCTTGCGTTTGCGCTCTCGGGTCAAAAGATCCTTAAGTGACTTCACAAGAAACCTGTACGTGTGCTGATCCGTGCCCTCTGATGCCCTGTCGTAAATCTCAAGATCGTACTTTAGCCTCTTGGACTGCCTGAGTTCACGAAGGAAAATGTCTCTTAGGGTCGTTTCGTCCGGTGTGTGGCTAAGCCCAGACATGACAGATTCCCAGTTGCTAATGAACACTGAAAGGTCGTCATTGATTAACCTTACTTTCAGCAGGTCCTCCACGGAGTACAGTGAGCCAACCTCCTCGTTCGTCTTGAAGTACTGATCGAAGAGGTAGAGCACCTGTCGTCCTCGTACCGCCCTGAATTTCGCCGCTTCTGTCTCCTTAAAAATGAGGATTTCTCGGGAGAGTTCTCCCCTAGCGACTTTGGTGAGTGCAGCAAGAAGTTTCGTGTCAAGGGTGAGGAATTTCTCAGGGTCTCGAAGGGATTCCTGCGATGCGTCTTTGTCGTAGGCCTTCATCACCCATTTAAACGCCTCATCAGGAGAATCTGATGCTGCCCTGACCGCTTCCCTAGCTGCCGTTTTCCATGAACGATACGACTCTGGACTTGGGAATTCCGGAAGGTTGATGGACTCTGCTTCTTTCACTTTGGGTCTATCAGCATCGACTTTGCTCTCGCCCCTTATGCTTCTTAGGCTTTGAAGAATTGCCATTTGGGTCTCTAGGAGACCTGTGTTGAAAGCCTCCGTCCCTGGCGTGCCGGAATCGGCCGCTGGAGGGGCCGCTGTTCCTGGCGCTGCCTGGGAAGGTCCTGCCTTGGGGATTGAAGATGCTGTTGCAGACGGAATGGACTGAGCATTCAAACCTCCTGGATTCATTGACTCGAACAGACATCTGGCACCCTGGGGGATTACGTTCGGCATTGAGAACATGGGCGCTTGAGGAGCTTTGGGGACAACAGAGGGACCTGCAGGGGTGCTTGGAGCAGGCACTGGCTGACTCTTTGGAGTAGCTGGGTTGTACTGATCCAAGACCTTCTCTAGTGCAGTTTCCGCAGAATCCAACCTGTCCTGAAGCTCTTCATTCTGTTCCCTACATACAGCAAGGGACGCCTCATACTCTTCTTTCTGCCTGTTCCTAAACAACTCAAAGTGTGCTTGGAACTGTTCAACCATGACTTCCTGGGAATTCTCGACGTGCCGTCTCGCCTGTTCTTCGAGGTTCTGTGCAAAGCGTGATTCCGCCAGATGTTGATCCAATGCGTCTGTGATTCGGCTTTGTTGAAGTTCCGCTAGCTCTTGACGCAACCTTTGATCTTCGTCATAGGAATGCGCCTGACTTAAAGTCATTTCCGACAACAGGAGCCTTTCGCGATTTGCCGCCTTGAACTCGCTTTGTGCCAAGGCTGCTTGCAGTTCTGCCACCACTTCAAGGTGGTTTCGTTCTGCTCTGTGCTCCAAGTCAGCTGTGTGAATTGCGGATGCTTCTTGATAGGTCAGCATGTGTTGCCTGTGTCTAGCTTCTGCCTGAGCCTCTAGTTCTCCGACTTCCAGTCTGATCTGGTTAACGTGTACTTCGACACTATACTGTGGTGCGAAGACGTTGAACTGTTGGACTGAGGCTGGTGCCGGGAAAACTAAGCCGGGGGCGCCGCTCCCTGTATGGCCACCCGTGACCGGGGGCTGTAAAGGGTTCACGGTGCTTGTAACTGTATCCATACTTGCAGGAATAAGTTCCGGTTCGCTCATGCGCTGATTGATTGTATTGTAACCAACCAGTTGTGACCAGGCCGTAGGCTATACGGCTGATAACCTATAGCTGTTGTAAACCACTGCACACACGCACTGTTGTATATACCCGTCCAAGTGTTAACAAGCACAGCAGTATACCATTGGGCATCTACCTTTTTCCTGTTAGAGCACTTGTGCCACAACGTCACCACACAACATGCTACTTCACACGTGCACAAATTACATCCTTCTATGAATCCTACTATTTTGGGGTTCTAGGCCCAGGGTTTCTTAATCATTCTCCTACCCTAAACCCTGAGCCACGACACCGTAGAGTAGAAGCCTAAAAGGTGGAAACCTAACAGCCTCAATCCTGAAGAGTAATGTATAGGGAATCCCAGCACTATTTGGCCTTATTCCGGTTTCCAACTTTATGGGGTTCACTGTCCCCTCGCGAGGCCTTCCACTTTCCTCGCTTCCTCCTTTTCTCTCTCCATTTTTTCCATCTTCTGCGCGGCCATCTTGTCGGCGATAATCTTGACCTTGGCACTATGGTTTGGGGTTTATGACAGAGCTTAGGCTTTAGGATTTATGATAGAGCTTCGGGTTTAGGGTTTGATGAGTCGGCTTCTTGTTCGACATGTTGGGGCTTCGACATACTGCAGGGTTTGAGGCTTTGCGGCGCTGGTGTGTAAGACCCAGCGAGCCCAATACACAATGAAAAGGGTTATACCTAAACCCATGATATTGGGGCCCTTGTACGTGAAAGGTATATTCCTTATATGGGAGTTTCCGAAAATAGGGGACCCTAATATGGGACCCTCATTAGTAGGATCCTTATTATAAGGACCCCAAAATAAGGTACCACTAATTTTCGGAAACCCCCATATACCTAGAAAGAGTCTGGGGCTTTCTGGGGATGCTGGGTCTTTAGCGTCGGGTTTTGAGCACAGGTTGCCGAAAGACAGCAAGCCTGCAGCAGCAACGGCAGTTCTAGTAGCAGCAGGAGCAGCAGCAGCAGCAGGTAGTGGTATCAGGATGGAAGAGTGTTAGGTACTGTAGTCGTTCTTCATGAATTATGGCTTGGGGTGTAGGGTTTGGATACTCCGGGGCCTGAGAACTGTACTTCCTGGCGCTGCTCATACTCTTGACGCATTTTCTTGAAGGCTCACACTGCTTGGAGGTTCATGGGCAGTTATAAGTGGAGTTATAAGTCCCCTAATATGGGTTATGATTATGGTTACCCTACTTATAACTCCACCTATGACTACCCATGAACCCCCAAGTGTTGTTGCCACTGTTATTGTACAATGTCAGCATTGTTACGTCGCAACCACTTCGTTTTGCAAACTGCCTCTGCTGCTAAATCTTGAACTGAACTCTAGACCCTGAAACCTAAACCTTGAACCGTGAAGCCTAAACGCTGTACCCAACGCTACACCCTGTGACCACCGGTCAGCTGACGTAACCATATACTCTAATGTACGCCCCTCAATGGTGCAAGCCTTCGGCGTAGGTGTTGTTTGTTAATCCTTATGTTTGCTTTCTAGGCGTTGTTTATTTCATTGTGAACATGTTGATTACTAGTTTCTGAAGTGCCTACTATTGGCAACTTTTAACTGTGAGCTCAGGGTGTTTAGGGGCCCCATTTCTTAAACTCTTGGCGTGCAATGCTCGCCTGCTTTTTGTCCGCCGGCCCCTTTTCCACCAGCTCGCTCATGTGATGGCCATTCATCTGTGCCGAGGATGGAGAGTTTAGGGCTTAGGGCTTTGGTCTTAGGGTTTATGGTTTAAGGTTCAGGGTTTAGGAACTCGGGGTGTCGGGTTCAAGACTCAGGGTTTGATGTGCTGGGTTGTGAGCTCAGATGTTTGGCTCTTGTCTCAGCATTCAGGGCTTCGGAATGTGGGTGAAAGGTCATTGCTTTCTACCCTTGGGAGTTTACATGTGTTTGGCTCAGAAGTGCTTCTTCAATGCCTGCATGGTAGGCAAGTTGGTTGCTGCGATCATCAAGTTGACTGGCTGGACCGGAAAGAGCAGCGCCGAACCGTTGGGACATTCAGGCGCCACTAGCACGTCCAGGTGTCTGTGGGACGGGCTACCAATGCCGCCCCATGCTCCATCAAACGGAGTGCCGTGCACACGGAAACCCAAAACCCAAAACCCAAAACCCAAAACCCTAAACCCAAAACCCAAAACCCTAAACCCAAAACCCAGAACCCAAAACCCCAAACCCAAAACCCTAAACTCAAAACCCTAAACCCTAAACCCAAAACCGTTACTCGTCGGCGAAAAGCTCCGAAGCCGCCCCATCACGTCCATGATACCGGGAGGTGCAAACCCTAAACCCAAAACCCAAAACCCAAAACCCTAAACCCAAAACCCTAAACCCAAAACCCAAAACCCTAAACCCAAAACCGTTGCTCGTCGGCGAAAAGCTCCGAAGCCGCCCCATCACGTCCATGATACCGGGAGGTGCTAGATGCTGGGCCCTCACAACCGTGCAAATTCAGGATGGGGATCTATAAATATTTCTTAAAGGGGTCCTTGGGGTAAGGATCCCACTATTTAGGGATATTTAGGGTGCTGTATTGTCTTGAAGATCTTCTTTTGCAGTTTCGTAGCAGCAGAAGAAGCAAGCCGAGCTCTTTTCAAGAAAGCCGCCCCTTGGGAGGGTTTCAGTGCAATTTTACAGTACATCGACATTCGAACTACGGAAGCCGCGAAACGAGTACGCAGAGAGAAGGCATGGAACGCACAGCTACCAAACTCGGTCCCAGTGCCCTGCATGCTCTTCTTGTAGCAGTGCCACTAAAACACAAACCCCAAAGTGAAAGCCAAACCCGCCAAGCAGCAAGGCCTTCTGAAAGCCTATACTGCCAACTCTATACCCAGTCAGCACTTGGAGGATCATGGGACTTAGCAAGTAAGGTTATAAGTATCTTCATTGGGGTGATAAGTATAGATACCTTATTTATAACACCACTTAACTAAGTCCCATGACCCTCTAAGCAACCCTAAACCCCCAACACGAGACCCCCGACCCTTGACCACAAACCGACAGCCCCGAACCCCACACACTCTTGTACAAAGCACGGCGACATCCGGTTTAGGAAACAACGAAAACCCCAAACCAAAGCACTCACATACCAAACCACCATAATGTACCCAAACTAGTATAATATACTGTGACATAGAAGCCGGATTGGCTAGCCATGCTCTTCCTTTCCGGGTCTCACGATGTAGGCCGCGACATGTTATAACCCTTAAGAGAAGCCGTACACCCATAGAGCCCAATACCCCTTAATTAAGAAATGTACATTGAATCATCATACTAAGGCCCCAGCAGTTTAAGGCATATTCCTTAATCAACGAGTATTGCCGCGATATTGAAATCCCTGTATAACCCTACAGGCACAGGAAAAAACCTAAACCCTAAACCCTCCAACACCCTTAAAGGAGCACCTAAACCCTAAACCCCTACATCGCATAATACCCCTAAAGGAGCCCTTTAACCCTAAACCCCTAAAGCCTAGGTACAATACCCTTACAGGAGCGCCTAAAGGCTCCTTTCAAGGAAACTCCACCGGCGAGCCTTCAGTGCCTGCCGAAGCTCTTTGCCGTCCTGATGCAGCCGGTGTAGGGTTCAAGGGTCTAGGGGTTTGGGGTTTAGGGAATTTTCGGATTCGTGGTTTACGGGCTTAGGTTCTATAGGGGTTTAGGTCTTAGGACTTCAGGATTTACAGGCTAAGTTTAGGGCTTCGGCTTTGGATTTGGTTGAATGCCGAGGTATTTTGAAGGCAATACGAATCATTCCGGCGCCTTATGTGAGTCTTCTGCGCAGACCCTAAGCCCTAAACCCCATAAACCACCAAAACCCAATACCCCTAAACCAGCTAATACCTAAACCCCGAAATCCCTAAAACCCCAAACCTCGATACCCATAATATACCCCCTAAATCCTAAGAGACCCAGCGTGGGCATTTCTGAAAGCTTTGGATCGGGAGCTCGGGGGCCTTGTGTCTCCTACAGAAAGGATTTCAGGTTTAGGTTGGGGAGTTTAGGGTTTTCAGATTTCATGAATGGGTTTGGGCCTGGCGTTGAGGATTTAGTGCAATGCTGACTGAGCTCTACACCCGAAACCACAGAATCATGCTGTCAATTGCTCAGGCCCTACATAATGAAGCCAGAAAAAGGCACAATTAATCTAGAGGCCTGAATACTTAGACTAGGGATTTGGGGCGTCTTCACATCATAAACTATTATGATACGGTTGATGATCAGAATCCTGCATTACCTTAATGGCCCCCTAGACTATGGGAGTTACTGTATATTCCAAATTATGGGTAATTCCCCATGAACCCTAAACCCCCAAACCCTAAACTCTATTCCTTACTATGTAGTAATGCAAGATTCATATCATGAACCGTAGGGAACCCTCGGGACTAACGTAGACCCCTAGTTGGGCGTCAATATTGGGGATCCCCATTACGATCAACTGGCAAAACGCCACACGACTTGGAGACAGCAAAGCCCAAGATGCAGTGCAGTGTAGTCATGAGTAAAGTTGTTGCTGCACGGATTGGAAGCGTTAAAGAAGCATCATCACGGTGGGCCGATGCCAGCGGCACTTTCCCTGCCAGAAAACTAGCAGCAGTGAAGAAGCTGACGGAGCCGGACAAACTGGCGATCCTGGCGGCGTCCAAGAAGAACACGCCGCAGTCACGGCCGAACGCGACGTTGGCCCAGTACCGGTCGAGGGTGATGGGCCCGAATAGCAATGCCACTACCATCCATTTCAAGCACGTGGCCGTATCAATCGGGGATCTACCATCTTGTTGCTAGTTATATACTCCCTAAACCCCAAACCTCGATATTGACAGAAACTATATCCATAAGGCCTCCGGCCGTAAACCTGGTGGCCAGTATCGCCCAATCCTAAGTTCCTCAACTACTACAGGGGTCTTAGTGCCCGTTATACTATAGTTATAATAAGGAACCCCCAAAACAGTATGGTAATTATTCGACTCCCCTCCAACTCATGTTATGCGTTTCTTTTGGAGGACATCACTTTCATGCTTGAAGGGACACTTCCTTAAGGACTATATGGCTGATGATACAAATCCTGCAGTACCTCCCATGGTCTAGCGTCATGCAGCCCTCTTAGGGCTCGTTTGGTCCTTGAGGTATACGTCAAAATACTTACGATGTAACATCCCTAAACCCTAAGCCCCTAAACCCTAAACCCCTAAGCCCCTTGACCGCTAAACCCTGAAACCTTAACCCCTAAACCCTGAACCCTGAAACCCTGACCCTAAACCCCGAAACCCCAAACCCTGAAGCCTCAACCTCTAAACCCGAAACCCCGAAACCCTGAGGAAGCTCTAAACCCCAAATCCCTAAACCCTAAACCCTAAACCCTGAAACCTTAACCTCTAAACCCTAAACCCCGAAACCCCGAACCCTGAAGCCTGAGCTCCTTAACCCCCTAAAACCCCCGAAACCCTGAAGGAAGCTCTAAACCCCAAGCCCTGTGCGAACGCCCTTTGAATCCGGGCCTCATCCTCCGCCTCTACAAACTTCCTGACGTCTTCGTACCTTCTCGGATTCTGTTTTGGGTTTAGGGTTTAGGGGTTTAGTTTAGGGTTTAGGGGTTTAGGGTTTAGGGTTTTGGGTTTAGGGTTTAGGGTTTAGGGTTTAGGGTAAACGGAATAATCAATAATAGGATCCTTATCATGAGGACCCCCAAATAAGGTACCCCCAAATATCCGGAAACTCCCATGTACAGTAAACCCCATAAAGTTGGGAACCGGATAAAGGCCAAGTAGTGCTGGGATCCCTGATGCATTACTCTTGAGGATTGAGGCTATAAACCCTAAACCCTAAACCCTAAACCCTAAACCCTAAACCCTAAACCCTAAACCCTAAACCCTAATACCCTAAACCCTAATACCCTAAACCCTAAACCCTAATACCCTAAACCCTAATACCCTAAACCCTAAACCCTAATACCCTAAACCCTAATACCCTAAACCCTAAACCCTAAAGGGTTTCCAACTTTGGGTCTTCTACTGTAGGGCTATAGGGGTGACGGGCGTAGAGGTTTAGGGGTTAGGGGTGTAGGGGTTTAAGGGCTCACAGGGTTGTTCTTCGTACCTTCGTGGAGTGCTTTTTTGGGCTTGGGGTTTAGGATTCCGCTTCGGGTTTAGGGTTTAGGATTCAGTTTTGGGTTTAGGGGTTTAGGATTTTAAGGGTTTTAAAGGTATTGGGCTCAAGGTTTAACTCGTACCTTCTTGAATGCGGTTTCCACGGGTATTCAACAGCGCCTTCGAGTAGAAAAAGGTTTATACTCAATACTGTACAAATATTGGGGACTACATGCGGTTCTCAAGACCGACCGTAACAAAGTGCCACATGGCCCCTGCAGCACCCTCAAATTCCTAGTAACTTCCCGCTGGCAAGGGGCGGATAGCGCGACTTCTTCAGACTGTCCTTGGTGCACTGCATGGCCATGGCTTTGCTAGGGCAGGGTTCGGGGTTTAGGCTTTCAGGTCTGATGAGAAACCCTACCTGGAAGCAAGAAAGACTGAACTCTGCAGCTTCAGGTACAAACCGTCGATGTCTTTCGATATGTTTCCCTTGGCTTGAGACTTGAGGACCCTTTGATGTATTGAAGCATCTTCCTAAACTTTCAACAAAAGACCGTTGGAGTATGAACGTTGCTTTCGGGATATTCTGGAGCCTGTGAGGCCTGCTTTATCTGCGAAACGGGATGCTGTACGTGAACAGCAGACGCATCATCATGTACATAGAAGCTCCATGTGCAATTCTCCAGAGCCTGAGCCCGATGTGCATTCTCTCAAAACAAATCACAGCCCAGAGCGAATTAGCCGAGAGTGTGGAAATCTGCTACTACGTGGTAAGACATCTTAAGAGTCAAAACAGTCTACCGAGCTCTTCATTCCCATAACGGTTTTCTACTTTGCAGAACCTAAAACATAGTATTTACTGTAGACCCCTATAAGGGTATTTTAAACGAAATTCCTTAACAAGACAGGAACCCTGTTAAACCCTAAAACCTAATCCCTAAACCCTAAGCAAGCGGCCATGACGAGGATGGTTGGCTTCTCCAGACACCTCTCGGCCGCCTGCTTCAGAAGAAGAAGGCCACCTGATCATGGGGAGTTATTAGATCTGGGCCCCCACCCTGTAATAGTGGTATTATAGGAATAGAATAGGGCCCTAATATAATGCTTATAAGCGGGGTTAGAAATCGCTTCAAAAGGGTTATAAGTATAGTGAAGTTTGAAGTCGTCTAATATGGGTTGTATGTATAGTTACCCTACTTATAACTCCCTGTTGAAAAGCTTTTGGGGGACTTGTGAAGAGTAACAGTCTGGTCTAGGAGCCTTAGCAACAGGAACTCGGACCTACTTTCAGGGTTTCGAGGTGTTCAGGGCTGCAAGGTAGTATGAGGGTTCGTGGTGCCCAGAAAGCCCGTAGCCGTATGAGTACAAAACCTGATAGAAGCGGCATTGAATAATATCGAAATCCTATAAGCAGTATACCCGAACCACTACGGCCACAAGGAACGCATGCTGCTTTGGAGTCGTTAGCATAAACTCCAAATAGTAGGGACCTTTGTGCGATTCACGAACACCCTTAAGTACCACAGGGAAGGTTCAAGCTTGTCCGTGTCTGTAAAGATTGGTAAGCTGAATATCAAGCCCCAACATCCCAACAGTCAAGACTCCGAGACCCCAAAACTCCGAGCCCTCACCATGAACCCTGAAACCCTGAATCCCCAAATTCCTAAACCCCCTAAACCCATAAACCCCCTAGATTCCAAACCCGCTAGACCCTTAAGCCCAACCCCCCAAACCCCTAACCGAAATACTAAACCTCCAAACCCATAAACCCCCAAGCCCTAAACGCTGAGCCCGAGCCACCATTCGGCCCGCCCTCCACAAGGATCCAGCAGCGATTCCGCACACACGCGCGGACGATCACATCCTCAGAGGCAGCCCTAAAGGGTTCCCTTTAAAGGGGTCCATAAGGATTACTATAAGGGCTACTGCAAGGATTTAGTATTAGGGCCATAATAATTAGAATAGGGTTTTTGTGGCCGTTCTACTGTATAGTCATAATACGGAACCTTCAAGGTAGTATAGGTAATCATTCAGAGGGTTTAAGGTTAAGTGTTTAGGGTTTAGGGATTTGGGGTTGCCCTAGCAACAAAAGGGGCTGCTCCGAGTTTCGAGGATTTTCTGGAGGAGTGCGGATCCTGAGTAGATCCATCCGGGAGTCTGTGCCCAAGACCACCGGGGACACTAACATTGGGGTCTTAGTCGTTAGAACAGGGCTTGGGGGTACATTACACTCCAACGACAAAAGGGAACACCCAACATAGTATTGATGGACAAAATCCTGCATGACCTTAAGGACCCTAAACTATGGGAATTCTGGTATATTCCTTCTTATGGGTAATGCAGGATTTCTGTCATCAACCGTAGTATTGGTAACTATTAGGGGTCTCTACCGTTAAGACCCACCCCATCCTCTCAAGCTACAGCCACAACATAGAAGCCCGAAGAACTACCAGCGAGATTCCTTAGGTTTCCTGTACCAGTACTCAGCTGCCATACACCCAAAACACTTTGCTAAGTGTTGTTCAAGTCTTGACGGACCTAAACCCAATACTCAAGAGGTGGGTGGTTGTCAAAATTATGGTTCCTGTTGGGGGTACCTTAAATATTAGGTGCCGTATTATAATAAGGACCCCAAAAAGGGGACCCTAATTTTGACCACCCCCCCCCCCCCCCCCCCCCCAGTTGGACAGAACTTTCAGGAGGCCAAGTAGCGATGAGATTGCCTGCAGCGGAAGCTTTAGGCTCAGGGCGTTTAGCTTCTTTTTGGGGTTTAAGGTCTCAGAGTATCGGGTTTTAGGATTAAGGGCTGAGGGTTTAGGGGTATCGGGTTTAGGATTGAGGCCTCGGGTATCGGGTTTAGGGTTTAGAGCTTTAGGGATTTAGGGGTTAAGGGTTTCGGGTTCAGGGTCTAGGGTTTAGGGTTCCGGGTTTAGGGGTATCGGGTTTAGGATTGAGGGTTTCGGGTAAAGGGTCTAGAATTTCGGCTTTGGGCGAATATCGATCTTTTGACATAGGGATTGCAGGTTCTGCGCAATTGTGCGTAGTCCTAGCCCTGTCCCAGACAGGAGAATGCAGGATATTGTCCAACAGCAGTAGCCTTTCCGAAACCCTAATTAAACCCTAAACCCCGAACCCAAAACTCTCAACCCAAAACCCTAAACCCTAAGCCGCTAAACACACTGTGCTGTTAAGTTCAAGCACCTTCCCGCCCCTGGCAGGCTACCTGTGCGTGCTGTAAGCTCTCCATCCTTCAACATCAAACCTTCCAAGAGAGACGAAATGGAGAAATATATACATAAATGACCAATGTGCTTTAGTAAGAAACTGTTTCAATGTATGTACATCTATATATATATATACATACACACACACGCACACATTTGTTTACTTTTTTTAATTAATATACATACATAGGCCACAAAAGAAAGTTCTCCCAGTGGCTGAATAAGAGATACCCAGAAACAGGCACAGACAGAGTTTTCACCCCCCTCCGACTCAAGCATCGAAACATTCTAGGACCCTAATGCCTCACGCCACGTGGAGGTTCGTGACCGGGAGGGGCTTTCATAAACCCCATATGGGAGTTTCCGAAACTAGGGGACCCTAATGTACTACCCTAATTAAATTTTCCTTATTGTAAGGACCTCGGAAACTCCCATATACCCCCTTCCTGTACCCATCTGTGGCAAATTTGTTCGTGTTCGCTAACCCTACTTGGCAAGGCCCTAAGCCTTCCAGTAGGAATTGCCTGGGGGTGCAGGGTGAGGGCTTAGGGCCTTTAGGGTTTAGGGTTCAGCGGTTTAGGGTCCAGGGGTTTAGGGGTTTAGGGTTTAGGGGTTTAGGGGTTTAGAGTTTAGGGCTTGGGGTTTAGGGCTTAGGGGTTAGGTTTTAGGGGTTTAGGGGTTTAGGTTTTCCAACCCAAACTCCCCATAACCCCGTGCTCCTCGAAACGAACAAATCCAAAACTCCCCCCGAACCCTACGCCCCAAGGAACCTCCGTGGTTGGTGTGGTATCTTCTTGGGAGAACCCCTGAGTCTTGGTCCCCCAAAGTGTCCAACAACGCCCAATTACGGAATAGACTTCGTACCAAATTCAAGCTCTTAGAGCTTAATCAAGCTGTAGTGCTCTATTTAGGGCTAGTTTGTGCCCTGGCTTGCCCTACGCAACCATGGTAAATCACCATAGCGACCCAGTCAGTTAGCACTTTCAACACCTTTCGGCATCCGCTTGGCGGGGCAGGGAAACTAACGGTTAGTAACCTTCAAGGTTTTGCAGTGATTATGGTACCCCAACAACGTTAAAGGTTGCTTACCTTACTTCCCCAATAACCCACAGAAATGAAAGGTTAAACTTTCCGGTTCCTACTAAGCCATAAGAACCCACAAAGCTTAAAGGTTGGGTATTGGGGATCTAAGTTACTTACTCTACTACTAAGTTTTAGGTGCCATCCGGCTACTCAGCGAGCCGTAAAGGAAGTCATTGAGGAGGGCCAGGGTCTTCTCTTTTCGGACCCTCAGCTTGCAGAAATAGTGTTTCATGATATAAACTCTAAATATACATGACCATTTCTATCAATGTCACGAATATTGTTATTATCAGAAATATGAATATATATATATATATATATGTATGTAAATATATATATATATATATATATATATATATATATATATGTGTAAATATGTTTTTATGTATGTATATATATATATGTGTATAATATGTAAATAGGTTACGTGTGTACAGAGCAGTATAACAGAATATGATGTAATGTGAGGGTTGTTCTATATCATTGTTCCACGCATGCCAATTAGGATACCTTGCGCTTCGCCCTTGCGCGTTCCTTGGGCGTGCTTGCGCGCGCGAGGGTTTCTTAAGACTATAGGGTTTGTTACTGCGGTTTGTTGACGCTTGGTGGCTTCGAGTCTAAGCTTGGGCTGCAGGTACAACACTGGGGCTTCAAGGCTGTGCTGGGTCCTCCATGGCTTTGGGCAGGCGACCTTGCGCGCCGTCTTGCGCGCGCTTGCGCCGATCTTGCGCGGAGTATGCCGTGTCAGAACCTAATTTCAACCGTTCGCGACTCTGCTACCGCGGCTTGCAGAAAATAAGAATGAGAGCGCTTACTCCAGAAGCGGAACGTCCTTGGTGTGGGATTAGGGGTTTATTTAGGGACTACATTATAGAGTCTATGCTTAGGGTTTACGAGGGTTTAGGGTTTAGGGTGTAGGCCGGTTACATACAACGCTGCTGAGTATCACTCTTGAACCAACCATAACAACAAGCCTTGAGCTTAGCTTGCGCTCGCCCTTGCGCGCCCTTGCGCGCGATCGAAAGGGTGTGCACTTTTTAAGCGACCGAGTTTTCGCTAATCGCCCTCCTAGTCTTGACACAAGAACCCCCCAAAAAGAACAACGCTCATGTAGGTTTTGAAGTCGTTTTCCAAGGAGGGCTCGTGGCCAGTCGCATGCGGCCTATCCAGGACTAAAAGATCAGGGCTTACGCTTTTGGGCGCTTGTAGGGCTGAGTGTTTTGAGACACGAGGTCACAAGGTCAGAAGTGTTCATTCTTCAGGGTAACCACACCTTTCGCCCCCCCATGGCCCACAAGACGGGAACCCCGCAGGTTCAAAAGTTCACCACCATCATGTTGAACCTTCCCTCAACCCTAGTCCTGGCACAAGCGGTGCACTTCACACCATCATCCGATTTCTGCGTAGCCCTTCGAGTCCAAGTATGGCCACCACTCTGACTACAGACCTTTGGAGACGTTTTGTACCTGGACGAGGTATAAAACAACTTGCACCTCATTCGTGGAAGAGCCCTAAATTGGACCCAAAACCCGCAGTAAAGGTCTTAAACTTGCAGAACGGCAGTTGCGGTGATTCTATAGCGTGATATCGGGACGGCAAGGGTATGATGGCGATATTTCTATTTTATGAAGGCTCAGGAAATGCACAAGGGAGCTCATAGGCAGAGTTGGACATACCCTCCTGGCCACCAAGCCTTGTAATCTACCAATTAAGGTCACGCGCTCCTACCATTCAAGGCGCTGCGCCTAAAAACTCAGAGCGCCGAATCCGAATCTGAATTCCTAAATCCCCAAGACCCCGACCCCCCAACTCCCCAACCCCTCAATCCTAGACTCTTGACCCATGATGGGATTGGAATCCTTAAGCCCCAGAGCTCCCAATCAGAGGCCCCTTGGACCCACAATGTAAGGAGTGTATTTACGAATACGGCCGTAAACCTATAACGCTTCATTAACTACGAATAACCTACCTTCTTAAGGAAGACATTCTTCAGAAGGAATTCTAAAAATGTAGGCTTTACAGGTACCAGGCCTCCAGCTAAAAAAACACTGTGGCTGGAAACTGCAAAGTCTGAACCGAGCGACTGCGCGTCGAGATTCTTCAGCTCGTCTTTCCTAGGGTAGATTAGTTCTCATATTCCCCTGTAGCCGCTTAGTAACGATGGCTTCCTTTCTCCTGTACTATCCGGGGGCTTTTCCAAAGGGGGCGGTAAAACCAAAAAGGGCAACAAGGGTAATGCTGGGAGACCACAGAGAACTACGGAACCTATGATTCCGCCGTAATACGGAAAACCCACAAGAAAATGGGCAGAAGAGATAGTACTAGAGAGCCCTCGAACCATATTAAGGGTCCGACCATAGTTCAATAATGAGACCCTTCAAAGACGAGCGAAAGGGGTGCTTCTACTGGGAGACCTGTATATGTTCAGGGTAGCCTGAACCCTAAACCCTCACAGAACCCGTATAGAGCCCGAACCCTTATAGAACCCTTACAGACCCTACGCCCTTGCTGAACCCTTACAGGCCTTACACCCTTATAGTACCCTTACAGACCCCCTCGAAAGAACACAAACAAAACAGGCTGCTACCTGGGAGAAATTTATAACTCCAGGGTACTCTTAAGCCTAATTTTTCGCAGAAGCCTTTTTGACCCCACAACTTTCTACAACCCTTGTAGATTCTAAATCCTTGTACGACCCTTTATAGACCCCTAAACCCCAAACCCCTCAACCCAGAACCCCTAAAGCCTAAAGGGAATACTACTGGGAGACCGCTATAACTCAAGCGTACCATACACGCTTAAATCCCTATGTAAGCCCTTAAACCCCTTAACCCGAAGTCCCAAAACCCTAAACTCTAAACCCGTCAACGTTAATCCCTACAGCAGGGTACTACTGGGAGAAATCCCTATGTAAGCCCTTAAACCCCTACACCCGAAGCCCCTAAACTCTAAGAACAAAAAAAGATTACCAGGACCCTCCTTGTGCTCTCAAATAGGAGCATATGGCCCCAAATAATGGGTACTTAGGGTCTACTAGAGAGCACATGGAGGGTCTAGGTACTGGGAGACCGAGATTCAAAGCCTCGAGCCGATCGTAGCTCGTTTTGCTGTCCTGGCTCTTCCTCTGCGCACCTCTTGGGTCGGACGCTGGCTTCCCTTAAGGGCTCTTAGGGGTACCTTGTTTTGGGGTCCTTATAAGGCTCCTATTCTATGGATAGGATCCTATAACACAGATTTTGATTAACCAAAAAAGGAACTGCAATGGAGACTATAGGTATTCTCCGTGCAGCTCTGGAAACGAAGCATGCCATGCGAAATGGCCCTTCTGTGGAATGCGGACTACCGCTTCTTTGCTGTCTTTGGCTGATCTTCGCTAAGAAGCTGCAGTCAATGCCATTACAGTAGAAGCCGGAAAGTTGGAATATCATTATCATAATCCCTTTAAGGTAAATTATAGGGGATCCTGCCATTATTCCATATTCCAACTTTCTGGAGTTCCCTATAAGACCCGACTGCAGACCAACAATGAACTGGTCGTCTGGTCATTGCTGTCGTGCTGTCCTAGGATGCCCAGTATTTTAGGAATAACAGGGGCTCCCTTTTCGGTATTGGCTAACTTACAGGGAACCTAGGACTACACACAGGGAATAAGGGTACTACTGGGCATCGTAGTGTCCCTTCGCTATACCCGCGCCCCTCGTCAAAAGACCCTTCCCGAAGCCCTCAACCCTGAGCCCTAATCCCAAAACAAGCGGGTCATCTGCTCAAGGCACGATATGTACAATTAGGGTAATTACAGGAACATCACATCCATCAGGACACCCTAAAGGCCTGCGTTGTTCTTCTCGTCATCTTCCTTCTCCTCATCCTCACTAAGAAATTGAGCCTCCTTCTGCCGAGAATCTCCGGCTTCTTTGGGTGAGCTCGCTGGGGTCCCCTGGTGTGTGTCTAGAGTCTTCTGGTTCTGCGCCTTTTGCTTTTCTAGCTTGTCCCTCTCCTCTTCCAGCTTCTTCCGCTTTTTGTCGATTGCCTCCGTCCTGAGCCCGCAAGATTTTGCACAGCCGAAATGGTCCGAGGTTGCGGGGGGTTGTGAACACTTCTACAATCAATACAGGGGACGTGACAAGTATCTAGCCAGCAGGCTGTATTGTCTACGTATAGGGGTCGACATTAAAAAACCTAGACTCCACTTTAGGGTTCAGTGCTTGGTCACGGCGTCAAGCTTGTATGCTGCATAGCGGGATCTAAACGCTGCACCTTTCAAACCTAAACCTTACAGAAGAGGAGCCCTAAATCCTTATGGAGCCGTGACAGGAGAGCCCCCGCAGGAAACCCTTTAAGGAATTCTAAACCTTAACCCTAAACCCTAAACAATAAACCCTAAACCCTAGAACCTCGGCACCTGGGTGTTTTTGCACCATGCCAAGGCTCACATCCGAATCGTTGTCGACGCACTCTCTGAAGTAGTCGTAGTACTGGTAGATTTCCTGAGGTCTGGAGGAAAGGGGCTCCACGCTAAGGCTCCTAAGAGCTACTTGTCGGGAATCATGGGGAACTAAAGGTTAGCCTTTTTGATTTTGGTTATAACGGAGTATATAGGGACTATACTAGCCAAAAAAAGGTGACAGGTTACCTACTCGACTACTAGGTTACTAAGGCCCCCACGTTAGAATCCTTATAGTAGCCCTTATAGACCCCTTTAAAAGGAACACTTGAAGGTTACCTACTCGACTACTAGGAAGAGTGCCTGCTCGGGGGAGGGTGACAAAAGAGGGCTTTAATGACTGGAACCGAGTTTTCAAAGCAAGCTCCAAAGGACCATGCCTACCATCGCAGAGTAAAATCAAGACATATTATCTCTACTCGTAGGGGTCCACGTGCCCAAATGGTATATGTTTTGGCCTTGAACTAGCCCTTATATTGGTACTTCGGGGCCTAAGTATATGGGTGGTTGTCAAAATTAGGGTCCCTATTATAATGCGGCATCTAATATTTGGTGTACCCAAAAAGGGTAACAATTTTGACAACTACCCATATACTATTTATTTACATGGACCCTTAGAGCACGAGGACCTAGGAGTTTTGAATACAAACGGTGGGTTTCCAAAAATAGGGGGACAGTAATATAGTACCCTACATAGTGGGATCCTTATATAAGGACCCCAAAATAAGGTACCCCTATTTTCGGAAACTCCCAAACTGCAACTTGGCTATGGTTGTTGGGGCCTTACTTGGAAGGGCAAGAGACTTAGTAAGTAGGTTATAAGCAGAGTTATGAGTACCCTAAATGGAGTTTCCCCAATTATAACCCTACTTATAACCTACTTACTAAGTCCCCTGCCCTTCCAAGTAAGCCGGCAAGACCGTCAGACACGGGACCTCAAAGGTTGCACTGTGGGCCTTACTTGGAGGTTCATGGGGAGTTATAAGTGGAATTACAAGTAGGGTAACTATAGATGTAACCCATATTAGGGAACTTATAGCTCCACTTATAACTACCCATGAACCTCCGATGTTGCACCATGAATATACTGCTATATAGTGACCATAGACGGACACTGTTGCTGATAATTCCGACTCCTGCTACGCTGCACACCTCCACAGTCGGCTCAAACATCTTAGTCACTCTTTCGCTGTCGCAGCAGTTGACATGTATTGCGCCACAAAATTCAATCGCCAAAGGTGCTGAGTTGAAATCGGTGTTCGCCAGCTTGTCCATCTCCTTCTCATCCATAAGCCGTTTCGGATGCGCGAAACCTGTCAAGATGGGAGTTTCCGAAAATAGGGGACCCTAATATGGTACCCTAAAATAGTAGGCTCCTCATTATACAGACCCCAAAACAAAGTACCTTCCCCCCCCCCCCCCCCCAATTTTAGGAAACTCCCAGATCTGTGGCGCCTCCTTTTGGCCCTCTTAGCCTTGGGTGTTGCCTTTTGGGCCGTTTCTTTTTTGTGTGTTTGTTCTTGTATTGTGGTTGTTTTGGATCCGGGGCTTTTCGTCTTTGGGAGATAGTTGGAGGTTCATGGGTAGTTATAAGTGGGGCCATAAGTAGGGTAAGTATACTTGTAACCCATATTAGGGGACTTATATCTCCACATCTAACTATCCCATGAACCCAAAACCCTATACCCTCATGGGGAGCACATAGGAACTACCATAGGGATCCATTCACCCACTCCCTACTAAGCAACAGACAGTTGTTGACTCAAGTGCCGGGAATTGGACGTCTGGACGACGAGCACGTTTAGCAATTGGGGTTCGCAGCAAGGCTGGCTGCATGGCTACATAGCTATAGCTACGATTCGCTCGACTTACTACCAGATTTGGGAGTTTCCGAAACTAGGGGACCCGAATATAGTACCCTATAGTAGGATCCTTATGATAAGGACCCCAAAATAAAGCACCCCCTAAGATTCGGAAACTCCCTTTTGTCTTTTCAACAACATGGGCCCCCGGCGAGCAACTCTGGTACCGTCTTGTTTCGGCTGCTCAAAGTCTCTACTCTAAACCCCCATAAAGTTGGAAACCGGATCTAGACCCAAGAGTAACCTAGGAATAAAACGGGTGCCCTTTTTGAGTTAAAGGGAGTTATAAAAGAACCGAAACCTTAAAAGAGGGAATAAGGGCCTACTCTGGGTCCTAGGGATTAAGGCCAACTAGTCCCTATCTACATTACGCTCAAGGATGGAGGCTATTGGGTTTCCAACTTTTGGGCTTCCACTGTACTCCATTCCTAGACCTCCAAACCTGAGAATGCCGCGCAGGACGACTGGAAGGTCGTGCCTGCGCTTGGGTCATGTCTGAGAAACGCGAATTAATACCTAAAACCCTAGAGTTGTGTTGTATGTAGGAACCCTTGAAGAACCATTATAGTATTGTAGAGAGTTTCGTAGGAACCCTTGTAGAACCCTTATAGAAAACCGTAACATGGTGGAAACAACGCCGAGACCAGGCTAGAAGCTCAACCCTAAACCCCGAGACACCCCCACATCACCATAAAGGGTTTTGGTTTAGGGTTTTGGTTCAGGGTTTAGGGTTTAGGGTTTTGGGAACAGCTCCGCAACAAAAGAAATCCAAATGATCAAGGCCATAGAATCATAGTAGTTCCTTGAGCAACTATAAGGGTTTTGGAGTTTCTAGCCAAGCGAGCAAGAACACTCATGTTGAGAGTACACCCCAAAGCCTAATCCCTGAAAACTTAGTACGATGTGGGAGTTTCCGAAAGTAGGGGACCCTAATCTAGTACCCTAAATAATAGGATCCTTGTTCTATGGACCCCCAAAATAAGGTGCCCCCTAATTTTTCGGAAACTCCCAGGTGGCTTTCAGAGCAATCCCAAGCCCTGCAGCTCTCAACCTCCACTCCCTACAACCTCAACAGTGGAACGGTTGATGATATAAATCCTGGGGCTCCTTTAAAGGGATCTCTATGGGTACCTTTAATGGGTTCCTTCAAGGGGTCTATAGGGTTTAAGGTTTAGGGACAAAAATCCTGCATTACCCATAATAAGCAATATACCATAATTTCCGTAGTCTAGGGTCCTTAAGGTAATGCAGGACTTATATCATCAGCCGAAGTACCCATTTAAACAATCGCAATAAAAGCCCCCAGGCTTTGTGAGTCAGGTTCGTTCATTCTTATAGGGCATTAAAGATTAGAATAGGGTATGGGAGTATATTACACAATGATTATAGTAAGGAGCCCACACAATAGTATAGGTAAGGTTTTAGGCTCATTATGTTCTCTTGGTTTGATCATGAGCCAAGCGGCCGGACTGAAACTTGATGAGCAGATGAGGCCTGCTGCGAAACTTTCCGGAGTGTTCCGAAACTCGGAGTTAGCAACAGCTTGAGGATTTGGGGGCTATTCTGGGTGTGTTTTGTTTCGGTGTGTTCGATCAGGAACTTAGAGCTCTTTTTGGTTTGCGCCTGGGGTTATAGGGGCTGAGGGCTCTTGTAACGTTTGTATGAAGGCCTTACGGCTGTTTTAGAGTTGTGTGCGGTTTATAAAGGTCCTTTAGGTTTTAGGGTATTGAGGGCTCTTTTGAAGGTTTTGTGTGTGTGGGCTTCATGAGGGTGTTGGGCTCTTTAAAAAGGCTTGTGTGGGTTTTGCCAGGGCTTCAGGACGATTTTTTTGGGCTGTGGCTGGCTCTTTCAGATGAGAGTTTCCGAAAATTAAATAAGGGACTCTAATATAATACCTTAAATAGTAAACCCCTAAACCCCTGAAAGCACCAACAAACCGCTAAAAAACCCTAAAAAGCCCTAAAGTCTAAATTCAAACTTCTGAATTCCAAAAGCATGGAAGCTCCTCGCCGCGGAGCCTCTGGAGGTTCCAATGCCGGAGGATCGACTCGAAAAGTTCCCCCGACTTGGCGCTGATCTCCTGGGGAACTCTAAAGGGCTCCTTTAAGGCATCCTTTAAAGGGATCCTTTAAGAAAGCGAATAGGGTTTAGAGTTTAAGTTGATGATTCCAGAAATGGGGTTAGGTTAAGGTTGCGGGTTAGTTTTCTAAACCAAGGTCCCGATTTAGGTTCCCCCACAAAGAGCCCGGCACCCTTTTTGAAGAACCTAAAATGGGACCCTACCATAGATCATAATTCAACCCCAACCTGCCTGACACGAATCCCCTCGGAACGCGGAGACACGACATACCTCTGAATTACGGAATATACGGTTTCGGAACCCCGGGTTAGTATGAAAACCGAGTCTTCGATTTCAGGCATGGACATGGTAGAACCACTCCAATTTGCACCAAGCCTGTAAGCCAAGTTTCTGAGGCGTCGGTCGCGGGGATGTACACAAACTCCTGCACACCTGGATCAAACCCTAAAGTGGAAGCCAGAAAGTTTTGACATTATTAAACCCTTACCTACTTGTCGGGTATCATGGGGAACTGAAGGTTAACCTTTTTGGTTACAAAAAAGGTGCAAGGTCACCCTAGGCTTATCCCTAGACCCCAAACCCCCAAAACCCTTAAACCCTAAACCCTAAAGCCTAGACCCCTAAACCCTAAACCCTAAACCCCTCAACCCTAAACCCGTAAACCCCTAAACCCCCAAAACCCTTAAACCCTAAACCCTTGAACCCTCGAAGCATGGGGTTTAAAGCTTCGGTTGTGGAGATCCTCGGTGCGTGGTGGGATCGGCGCTTGGACTTCGGATTCGCCGGGTGCCTGACAAGATTCCGGGCACTAAAGAAGCAGGCCGTCAGTAAAGTTTTGAGTCTACTAAACACTAAACCCCTAAGTAGAGCTATAAGTACCCTAGACTGACCCTAAACCCTAAACGCTAAACCCCTAAGTAGAGTTATAAGACCCTCATTCAGCCCTCCCTCCTGAGTCGGAGGTCTGAGAGGCTTCCCCACGCTCTACTGCAGGGTTTGGGGTTCAGGGTTTAGTAGAGGTGCCTTGATAGCTTGAACAGGATTTGGGGTTCGATCATACTAAGAAACAAACAGGGACTATACGGGGGTGCTGCTACAAAATGAACTAAGTACTATCCAGGCCCTTCGTATGATGGCGTCTGTGAGGCAGCAGGGTTCACCATCCTTTGAACAAGAAAGCCCCGAGTTCGAAATTCTGGTTTGCTCCTAGGGCAGCCAGCTCGGTTGCAGCCTCCGGAGCCGTGCTCGGTCCCGTGGATCCCGCATGGTTGGAAGGTTGCGATCCAGGCGGTCCGCTTTCTCTGCTAGGGTGATCATCAGACCATGGAGCACGGGGTGTCGGCGCAGTTCCCCGGATGCTATGGCGAGAATGCCTTTCTGCTCGCCAGCACTCACTTGCGGATCTCTTTCCAAGGCTCGCATCAAGGTGTTCAAATGGTGGCTCTGGAACTGAACATTAGCTGCAAGAAAGCCGGGGTGTTGTGAAAGATTGCTCTCCGCGGCAGACTTCTGCGAACGTAGAGCTGCCGTCCATTGGTGTCCGCCATTTTTGGAGGGTTCAGCTGGGGTTTGGGGTTTAGCGTGGTAGAATTATGAAAGCCCAGTGCTTTACTGACTTACATGCCAGGAACACTTTCAAAGTCCTGGTCGAGAGCCAACACGCTTTAACGGAATGGATTCTGACATAGACCCTAAAAACTACGACTTTCATGGCAAGGACCTCACAAAAAGAGTCGAACCCTTTGAAGTCCCCGCATCATGTCAAACACCAGCAAGCCCAGGCCCTTGACCCCACGCCCCCCAATTCTAAACCCCAAAAAACTGAACCACAATAACTATTCAGATCGATGTTGAGCTCTCAACCTGAATATAAACTCCTTACAAAAGCCTCCTTTCTTCAGTTTAGGCCTTTAGGGCTAGTATTCAGTACTAGTATGTGTGCTAGTTTTTGACGGCTTTTAGGCTTTAAGGTTTAGAGTTTAGGGCTTTGAGGTCTGGGGTTTAGGGTTGCGCGAAGTGTTGCACGCGCCCGGCGCGCACATCGGTTTAGGGAACCTAACCCCAAAATCCTAAACCCTAAAGCCCTCTACATCTTTTGCTGACACGCCAAGCCGAGGCGCCCCCGTCCGTGACAAACTTCCCATGTCTCAGGGAGAAGGCCTGTCCCGGCTGCGGAGGCTTCAGGTGTCTTAAAAAGGGGACTTCAGACGGGGCTTAAGGGGTCAGGGGTCTTACAAGGGGTTTGTACACAGGGTGTCCATTCTTCTTCAACTATGGAATATAACATACCCGTATATCGTAGTAGGGATCCTACTATGGTTTCAGGTAAAATCCCTAATTGCGCGATATGGGAAAATCTCGGTAAGTTTTTGTGAATGATTGTACCGGTTTTGCATGTGTTGGGCTTAAGTCGGGAGCGCAAGGGGTGTCAGGGGTTCTTTCCAGGCCTTCTTGGGCTTCTACGTCCTTCAACAGTTTGCAAGGTTTCAGGGCTTAGGGCTGAAGGGTTAGACAGATTATGGACGAGGGTTTCTAAGAGGGGTTTAGGGTGTAGGGTTTAGGGTTTAGGGTTTAGGGTCTGAGGGGTCTTGTGGGCTGTATGAGGATGGACTGGAATCTTTGTCTGCCGTACAACGGTTGTACAGTGCCTTTACGGCTTGAGGGCGCTCAAGGGGTTGGGGCATTACGGGCTTGCTGGTGCAGGGGCTTTTGCTGTTTAGGGTTTCAGAGGTTCTCAGGAACGCCCAACTTATCCCTTGCTTTGGGAGTAATCCTTAACTTCACTACACTACGAAGAACCTTTGTCTGGTTCAAGGCTTGTTGAAGGGGTATTGAAGATTGCTTCGGGCATCGGCACATCCAAGATAGCAGCTTAGGGCCCTACATTCAACTACGATTCTGCTACGCTCCACATACACATGTGCTAGGATGTAGAAATTACGGAGCTCAGAAGTCCTTTTGGAGCCTCTTTAGGGTTTAGGGGTTTAGGGTTTAGGGTGTAGGGAGTCTCCCTGTGGCAATCCCAGTGTCAGCGAGCAAGCTCGTCTGGCAAATGCCCCGAATTTGCCATGCAGTGCAAAAGGCAAGTTCTTGCCAGCCGTTGACTGTCAGCACAGAAAGCCCCTGAAGGAAACCGTATCATAGAACCCTACAGTACGCTTAACTTAACGGGATACAGATGAGTGATTCAGACAACTAGGGATCGGGGTTGAGCACATCGGCAGACCCTAAACTCAGAAACCCATGCCAAAAGCCCTAAACCCTAGATGTAGGCCTAATGCCCTAAACACGAAGCCCAAGACCCAACGACCCGAAAACTTCAAATCCATGCCCAACGCCCAATACCCTAAACCCCAAGCCAAAACAGGCAGTCGCTAACCGCACAAGACATTGCTTGGAGGGTCGGGGGACTTACGAAGTAGTTATTTTGTAGAGTTATAGGTACCATAACCCCAATTAAGATCCCTTTTAGGGTACTTACAAGTCTACTTACTACCCGGTTACTAAGTCCGGTGGTCCTTTAAGTGGTTCCCCGAGATCCTGTACAAGGAGCCATGCAAACAAACAACAACTTCAACCCGATGCAACTAAGTACCTTTTAAAGGGATCCTTTAAGGGTTCCTTAAAGGGATCTATAAGGGTTCTATACAGGGTTTGGGGTTTAGGATTTAGAGCTGAATTAAGGGTACCTTATTTTGGGGGTTTCTTGTAATAAGGATCCTACTATGTAGGTTACTGTATTAGGGTCCCCCATTTTCCGAAATTACCAAATTCCTGCAAAACCGGTAGACTCTAGTACTCCCATAAGACCCCTTTACCTTATAGGAGTGGTATGGAAGCCTTATGGGAGACTACCCACCTTAAAACTACCCACCTGTAAATGGCTTAGACTTCACATACAAGCTTTGAGCCCCAAACTTTTGAAGGAGTGAAACTAAAATATTATTTGGAAGCTGCCCCCCCACCCTGTAATAGTGGTATAGTAGGAATACACTAGGGCCCTACCATAATCCTTATAGTCACTATTACAGGGTCGGGGGCAGCTTCTGAAATGTAATCCTCAAATGCCTAAATAAGCGGGCCCGAATCGCGAAAGCCAATGCTCCTGCAACCCTGAACCTTTTCCAGAAGCCCATAGCTCGCCACCCCCGTCTGTGGCCTCTTCTTGGGTCTTTATTTTCATGTTCTTCTCCGTCATCGATGCCTTCGCAAGGTAAGGGTATAGGGATTAGGGTTAGGGATGTAGGGCTTGGGGTTTAGGGTGTGGGGTTGAGGGCGATGGGTTTGGGGTCTAAGGTTCACAGGCTATCAAAGCCCTGAACCCCTAATGTAGGGGCCTTCGTAATACGTACACCAAGGCTTTATTGGAGGGTTCGTGTTCAGGCTGGACATTAGGGTAGGCCATGAAACGAGACTAGTTGCTAGGATACCCAGTAACCTAAGAATAAAAAGGCCTCTCTTTTTGGTATTGGGTAACTTTAAAAGGAACCTAGGACTACAAAAAGGGAATAAGGGTACTACTGGGCATCCTATGTTCTGTGAATTTCAACCCTTTGCAGGCCCTGAACACACACTCACAAAATAGACACAAACCGGAAACCACAACAACATCCTTCCAGTTTCAGCACGGCAGAATCCGAACATAAACAAAGCTCCACCGGACCCACGAACCTGGACCCCCCAAGCCTTAAAGCCCCAAACCCAAACCCGTGCAGCAGAGCCTTGCGGGCAGTGGCCTTGGATACTGCCTGCATGGAGGGGCGGAGTCAGAATGCACCAAAACCGAGCCCGGACTACTTTATCTGACTGAACCAAGACTGCGAGACTCTAAACCATGATTCCCTGGCCCCATCTAGAATCTACAGCCTTTCTGTAGAAACCGAAAGCTGCAGCATCGCCATCCCCCGGCAGCAAAGCCTAGACCAGTGACCGTGAGAGAGGTCTGACAATCAGTAGAAATATACCCTTCTTGTCTCTGAAAAAAATGACAACAATCCGCAATTCACCCCTAGACTCCTAGACATTCCTAAAACCTAAAGGGAACTCCAGAAAGTTGGAATATGGATTAATCGTAGGATCCCCTATAATTTACCTTAAAGGGGTTACGATAATGATATTCCAACTTTCTGGCTTCTACTGTAGCCCAACTACGAGGGCCCCTACCCATTAATCCCACGCAATCCCAGAAAGAGCCCTCTTTAGGGCTGTGCAGAACCCTGATCGAAACCCGTTTTGGAGGTTTATGGTGTACCTTTTAACCTTAAACCCTAAACCCTAAACCCCTAAACCCTAAACCCCTAAACCCTAAACCCCTAAAGCCTACCCTTTTTTCAGGTTACGCCCTTTTAGGATCCATGCCGTCTTATCTCTCCCAAGTTCTGGTACAAAACTACGATCCGAAAGCCAATGTTCCTGGGACCCTTCGGATCAGCCACCACGGTTTAGGGTTTAGGGTTTAGGGTTATGGACACACACATGTACATACCCACACGTGCGAATTATTCAGTTTTCTGCACACATACATACATGTTCATCTAAACGAAGAAACCCAGCACATACACACGATACCCGAAATACCTAGTGAGCCCCAAGTCGCCCATGGCGAAAATACTCTCTACTTTCCGTTTCTCTGAAGTCAATTCCTAATGTAGCAGCCTGAAGAACTACGAATAGTGCTCCTTGGGCTCATTAGTGTAGCTGCACTACATATAATGTACCGCAAAGCTCATCTGGCCCCATTTTTAGAGAAGCCAGCGTTCACAAAGCAATAAACCGTGGCGCGCCGCACGACCCCTGACACAGATCCCCCCATCTCAGGACCAAAGTCACGCTAACTCTAGACGAACCCAAAATCCAAACCCTGAACCCCCAACCCTAACCCACAGATCCACAAACACTATACGCCCCTAAGCCGAAGACTTTGAAATGCGAAGCCTTGAAACCCTGAACCCGAGTGTGCCTGACCAAGAGGTGTAGTTTTTCGCTGCTCTGCCATCTCTTCCTCGATCTCCTGGCGGATCTTCGCGCGCAGCTGCTTCTCCTGCGGAGAAGCCATGTGTATGAACATAGAAGACGAACAGAAGTAGCACATACATTGTTACATACATATGTATATATGTATACTTACATCGTTTTCGTCTACATTTGTGTATATATACACAGTTATACAGCCATACATGTACATCTAAATAAACATGTATATAGAGAGAGCGAGGAGACTTGGCTGACTTCTGAACCCTTCCCAAAAGTTAAACGTTTAGCCTCGTTATTATGGTCCATATAGAAACCCTAAAAATTAGTCCCAAGAGCCAACCAGAAGCACGTCAGAGGGAACGAGGGAGGGAGACAGAGAGAGAGAGAGAGAGACAGAGAGATCGAGAGAGATCGAGAGAGAGACAAAGAGAGAGGGAGAGAGAGAGCGAGAGAGATAGACACAGCTGGAATACGCCATAGTCCTGAGGACAGTTTACTTCAACCTAATCCATGACATCGTCCATCATCTGTATAGCCGCAAGGATTATAGGCTCTGGTTTATGTAGGGCATGTACAAGTAACTATCCGTTGGACGCCTAAGCTTCCTACAAGGGCCTGGCTATTCAGTCAAACTATGCCGCTGAATTTCCTAAAACAGGCATGCTCAACATGAGCAGCAAAACAAGCAGACAAACCAGCCTTCAGGACAGCGGCCCGGGGTTTGGACTGGTGTTTAGCTGTTGAGGCTCGGGCAGTTGCTGCTTTTTGCAACAAATCTTTCTACTTCCTTTCGGCGGCATCAAAACTCATTCAGGGTTTGAGATTGTGTTGTCAAGCTTTTCAACCATTGTGATCGAGGACGACCAGCCTCCGAGCCGCTCTCTCTCTCTCTCTGTCTCTCCGTCTGGCGTCTGTCTGTCCCTGTTTGTGTCTTGCAATCACTACAGAGTTTGTTGAAAGCTAGGCCCGCAGTCCCCAAAACCCAGAGGCTTTTAAGCTCTTAAAGCGACACCCTAAAACCTCAAACTCGTCTGCTTCAACACTCCAAAACCTGAAACTCTGAACCCTGAACCTCTAAACGCTAAACCCTTCACTTTAAGACCCGCAGTCACAAAGATGGTTTCTCCTGCTCAGCTGCATCTTTCTTGCGAGCAACCTCGAAATGACACACCAGAGGGTTCGCCTTGAAAATGGGGGCCTGTATGGGAGTTTCCGAAAAGTAGGAGTAACTTTAAAGGGATCCATAAGGGCTCCTGAAAGGGATCTAAAAGGGTTCTATAAAAGGCTTAGGGGTTTAGACTTTCCGAAAATAGGGGTAGCTTGTTTTTTGGTCCGTATGATAAGTCCTACTATTTAGGGTACTATGGTCGGGTCCCCTACTATCGGAAACTCCCAGATTCTTGCTGGGAACCAAGGATTCATCTGCTGGGAGCATGTTGGGATTGATTAGGGGTTATGGTGCCCCAAAACGGGTAAAGGTTACCTACTCTACTACTAATCAGGTAATGGTTCCTGGATGATGACAGGGGGTTTCAATTAAAGGGTACTTTACAGGAGTGTGGGAGCACAAGAAGGGCGGAACGGTTGATGATTTAAATCCTGCATTACCTTAAGAACCCTAAATTATGGGAATTATGGTATATTCCTTATTATGGGTAATGCAGGATTTTTATCATCAACCGGAGCACAAGAAGGGCGGAAAGAGCCTGGGGGATGCCTTTTCAGCCTAATGCTTTCGTGGCGGGTATCTAGGACTCTTTCAAACTGGCGTTTAAAAGGCTGGTTGTCAAAATTATGGTCCCTTTCTGCGTACCCTAACTATAAGGTGCCGCATTATAATAAGGGCCCAAAAGAATTTAATTTTGACAACCACCCACATGAAGTTAAGGGTTTCTGATAAAGGGAGCTATAAGGCATCTTGTCACCGCCTACAATAGAGACACCTAATCTAGGATGCCCGGTATTTTAGGAATAACAGGGGCTCCCTTTTCGGTATTGGGAAACTTTTACAGGGAACCTAGGACTACAAACAGGGAATAAGGGCACTACTGGGCATCCTAGTCTATAATGGCACCTTAATGGGAGTTTCCGAAAACAGGGGACCCTACTATAGTACCCTCAATAGTAGGATCCTTATTATACGGACACCTAAATAAGATACCCCGAATTTTCGGAAACTTCCTAATCATAAGAATAGGCTGCTGGGCCAGAAGGTCCCTTTTCAAAGACGGGATCGGAGGCAATACACCCCACAGAAAATCTTAACCCAAATGGCCCTTCGGTTCTGGCGCTTGTGGCACAGGTGTTGCAAAGCTTCCACCTTGTGGATTAGGGGACGTAGCAAGCACATGAATCAGGGACGACAGGCACCGGAGAGAAGAAATAGGACTGCGAAGGAACTGCGGGTACCCACTGAACCCCAAACCCTAAAACCCCGGTGCTGGCCCCCAAATCCTATCGCAGATGTCGCTGCATCTTCAAGAGGGAGCCGGAGGTGTGGCGGCGGACAGCCGTGGCCAGCGCTTCTCAAACACATCACCTTACCTGCTTGGTTCAACCAGCTCTAAATTGGGTCCAACACATCTGAGGTAGCTCGAAATGAAAACTACAACGGAAACTACCAATGGAAACCATAAAAGGGAACCCAACTTCCAACATCCTCTAAATGAGGATGATACCTTAAACCATATTAGGGATCCAGCTACTGTCGACATTCCTTAATCAATGGGGTTGTGGAAGATCTTGGAACTCTAAACCCTTGCAGAACCCAAACCTAAATCCTGAATCCTCAATCCTAGGAAGCCAAAAAACAAAATCCTCTAAATGAGGATTGTACCTTCAATCATATCAGTGATCCAACTGATACAACTACATTTCACGAGATATTCCCTCTTCAAGGGCTTCTGGAAGATCCGGAAACCCTAAAGCCTAAACCCCTTGTAGAACCCCAAAATCCTCAATCCTGGGGACCTTACTGTCCCAATGGGCCACAGAAATGAAAGGTTAAATTTTCCGGTTCCTACGGTTGATGATATAAATCCTGCATGACCCATAGTAAGGAATATACCGTAATTCCCATAATTTAGGGTCCTTAAGGTAATGCAGGATTTATATCATCAACCGTACTAAACCACAAGAACCCAAGAAGTTAGAGGTAGGGTTCTTGGGGATGCATAAGGAACCCAAACAACCCCAGTGTCTTTCAAACGCACGTTGGCGGCCTCTGCTCGTCGTGTGGCACGTAACTGGGCAGCTCAGGCCAGATCTTCGGCTTCGGGTTTAGGGTTAAGGGCTCCTTTAAAGGACGTTATATGGTTTTTTTTAAGGGTTCTTCAAAAGGCTATACTTAGGGCTTTAAATTTACGGTACTTTGGGGTTGCTTGCTAATTCTCCAAGTGGACCAACCAAAGCTGGTCCCATGGTAACATGGCTAACCCTTCGGTTCCAGACTAATTAGGCCTGTCGTATGCGGCCATGATTCGGCCCGTGAAAGAGCCACGGGATAGATAGTGAATGGGCAGCAGTAGGAGTAGCAGTATCAATAACAGCAGCAGCCACAGTAGCAGCGGCAACACAATGCAGCCCCCTCATTGAATAGACATCTTGCAGTTTTGTCCGTCTGCTGAAAGCGCCTAAACCTCTAAACCCCTAAAACCCTGAACCCTAATATCCGAAATGCCGCTATGGTGAACCCCAGAAAGTTGGAACATGGATTCAGGAGGATTAGTGCTGAGATTCCTTCTACTCTACCTTAAGGGCATGGGGACAATGCTGTTCCAACTTTTGGCTTCTACTGTAAACCCTAAGCCCTTAAACCCACAAACTCTAAACCCTACCCCCTAAACCCCTAAACATCCCTAAAGCCAAAACCCTCAAACCCCAAACCCCTAAATACCCCTAAACCCAACACCCCTAAACCCCTAACCCCCTAAACACCCCTAAACCTCACGCCCTGTACCCAGACCCCCGGGAGGATCCAAAAAGTAGATCCTTTAATAGGGGTTCCTATAAAGTACCCTTAGTAGTATAGGGCCCCAAATTAGGGGATCTACTTTCTAGATCCTCCCGGGGGTCTGGGTACAAGAGTTCTATAAGTAGACTTATAATTACCCCAAAAGGGACCCTCATTGGGGTTATGGCACTTATAAGCCCCTAAAACAACATCCGTGACAATAATCCCCTAAACCCTAGATCCTAAATCCTAAACCATCATGCATTTCGTGTCTCTGAGGCAGGGGACTCTGGGCTCTTTCACGGTCGACGTCGCTTTCCTCAGGCATAGAACATGGGAGGTGAAAGGGGTCCTTTAAAAAGGGTACTCTAAGGGATCTATAAGGGTACCATAATATACTAGGATGCCCAGTAACCTAGGAATAAAGAGGGCCCACTTTTTGGTATTGGGTACCTTTATGAGGAACCTAGGACTACAAAAAGGGAATAAGGGTACTACTGGGCATCCGAGTAGAACATGGGAGGTGAACGGGCTTAGGGCTTGGGGGTTCGGGGGCTTAGGGTCTGGGGGTTTAGGGCTTAAGGATTGGGGGGTTTAGGGGTTTGGAGTTAGGGTATGCAGGGTTGCGGGGAGGCAATCCCTGCGATGGCATGCACGTTTACTTTTCATGACGAGTATTGCAAAATTCTCACGCTATATTTCTGCATTGGAGGGCACTGGGCATCCTCCTCCTAAACAGCGACTACAGAAAGTTGGTATTCCGCAGAAATTGTGGGGTTCAGGCTCTAGCGGTTTTGCATCTCTAGTTCCTTATTGCCGAGGCAGGTCACGAACGGCCCTATACATGGGTGCAACCTCTGTCTCACGGGGCTCCAAGAATGAGGAAGGGGGACTTTGGAGCAAGTCAGCACGAAAGAAATCAAGAGATTCACCATTTTCCGCTATGGCTACACAAAATAGTAGTTGCCGTAACTATTCTTACGGTCCTTATGCCACCTTTCCACCATACACCCCAAAACCCTCAACCCAACAGGCCTTCCATGAGGGAGCTCTTGCAAAGTACGCACAGAGTAGGATGGAGGGTCTCTGCATGAGGGCTTGCTGGTACTATTAAGGTAGAAGCCAGAAAGTTGGAATATGATTATCCTACACCCTTTAAGGTAAATTATAAGGTATCCTACCCTGAAACCATATTCCAACTTTCTGGAGTTCCCTTTATGATTTGGGAAGCATCCCTGATAACCGTACCTGGGACCCTTCGGCTGCCGAAAAAACACAGTCTTGGGTTTATCGGTGGATCTACTATTTGCTTAAGAACCCCCCAAAAAATAAAAAGTATATTCCTTATGGGGGTAATATAGGGATTATTATTTTTATTTTTATTTTTTGGTGGTTTCTTAAACAAATAGTAGGGATCCGCAAACCGACTGGTTGTTCAGGGTTTAGAGCCTAGGATTACGGGTTTAGGGCTTTGCAGGTAATTAGGTTCGATGATTATGGGGTCATTCTGTGTTTTGAAGGGTAGATCCTAGAATTAAGGGGTCATCGCCGTCGGTTTTGGTCGCAAACAAAATCGAAAATGTCTCGTAGGCCGCGCCACAAACTCGATCAAACCAAGCGGCTATCACAGAAAAACCTGAAGTCTTAAGGTACTGGTTGGATACTGCCCCCATACAGTAACAATCTATAATAGGGCTACTTTTAAAGGCCTAATATATTTATATTATGAAAATTATCCAACTGTTACTGAGTGGGGGCAGTATCCAAGGCACTGGTTTCTCCATACGTAGAGCCTTGCAGGGAAAGTCCTGGCTAAAGATTGCCAAGTGGGAGGTTCCGACAATTAGGGGGGCACCGTATTTTGGGGTCCTGATAATGAGGATCCTACTATTTGGGGTACTATATAAGGGTCCCCTATTTTCTGAAACTCCCAAACTCCTTTTGCAGGACAGTCACCTTGTCGCGGCTGACGCTGTCCCATCCTGTGGCAAGCAGTCTTTTGCGCGACCGCTGGAACTTTAGTACAAGCGGTCGGTGTGGGGTCCACAGTTGCAGGTTTCAGACAAAAAGACAATAAAACAGAAGACATCACATAGTTCGTTCGGCACCGTGCCTTTTCCGAAGAGCGCGCACTCATGTTCCCTCAGAGCAGCAGCTGCATTATCGGGGCCTTGGTAATTAGGAAAGTTGTCCTACGCTTACCGCTTACCATTAAAGAAACTTGAAACCTATTCTAACGACGAACATGGGAACCCCGACGAGCCGCGCTTGGTACAGAATTGTGCTGTAATGTAGGGGTCTTAACGATCGGTATAGAGTTTTGGTGTCTATTGCGTTTTTCCTTTTGACAAGCGCTCTAAGGAATACTTTCGGTAAGCATTTAGGCCCGAAGCTCCAAAAACCCCAAACCCTAAACTACGTTACTGTGAAGTTCTGCATGTACACACCCGGCATGCAAAAGTGCTGGCCTTCTTCGGCTGCTTCTCCTGCCAGTGAATGCTGCTCAGCTTAGGGCAGTTGGTTGCAAGTAGAGTTATAAGTACCCTAAATGGAGTTACCCCAATTATAACCCTATTTATACACAGGGTTACCCTTTAACCCTAAACCCAGAAGCCGAACATAGCCATATTGACTTGCATAGAAGAACGATAATTAAGCCCTAAACCCTAAACTCCCTACCCTTCAGCCCCCTAAATCGCGAAACCGCATACCCATATTACAGTATAGTAGAACCATAAGACAATATAGATCCTTGTAAAGCAACCCTTAAACCCCCAAACTCCTAAACTCCTCCCCCTAAACCATAAAACCCTAAACCCCCCAAACCCATAAACCCCCTAAGCTCCTTAACCCCTAAACCCTGAAACCCCCAAAACCCCTAAACCCCAAATCCCTAAACCCCTACTTGGAGTTATAAGTGGGGCTATAAGTCCCTCATAAGGGTTATAAGCATAGTTACCTTACTTTTAACTCCACTTACAGCAGAAGCTTAAAAGTTGGAAACCCGATAGCCTCAATCCCTAAGAGCAAAGTTCACGAAATCCCAGCACGATTTGTCCTTAATTAGGTTTCCAACTTTTTAGAGCTTACAATATAACCACCCATGAACCTCCAAGTAGCCCGAACTCCCTAAACCCTAAACCTCTAAAGTCTAAACCCTAAACCCTTAAACTAGGTTCAAGGTTCCTTGACCCCTAAATCCTAGGCTTGATTTTTCCAAATCCCTAAGCCCCTACTCTCCCTAGACCCAAGAGTAGCCTAGAAATAAAAAGGGTGCCTTTTTTGGTTTAAAGGGAGTTGTAAGGGAACCTGAACCCCCAAAAAAGGGAGTAAGGGCCTACTCTAGGTCCTAGCTCCCGAAGAGCGAAGGCCTTGCTGGGGGAGCTCGGGGAGCTTGGCGAGCTCGGGAGTCGGAAAGCCTCCAGTGCGGCCGCGTTCGTCTCTTCAACAAACACCTCCTCAAAGGGTTCCTTTGAAGAGGTCTATGAGGGTTACGGTAAGGGATCTATAAGGGTACGATCATGATGTAGGAACCTGACTTCAACAAAAACCTCCTATCCTGCTACATAGCCTGACCCGGTCTTAGCGGGGTTCAAGGTTTAGGGGATTGAAGGTTTAGGCTTCAAGGTTCAGTGGATCGGGGTTTCGGGATTTAGCGACGTAATGTAGGAACCTGCTCAAGAAACCCTGGGCATATAACCCCAAACTAGTAGGATTCATAGAACGAACCCTCATAAAGGCCCGAGGTTTCTTAATCAGGTCCCTACATTAGGGTCCCCACAAGGGCTCCTATATCTCAGATCTCCGAAAACAACAGAGTTCGCTAAGGGTTCCTTTCATAAAGATCGTGCTGTATAGTTTCTTGAAGAAGATTCGTCAGAATCTCTTACAGCCTTTTCTTTCGGGTAAGTCTTGCAGCTTTGTGCTTGTTTGTGTAAAACTCCTGCCGACTTTACGCTCAGCATATGGGTAGTTGTCAAAATTATGGTACCATTGTAGGTACCCTGAATATTAGGTGCCGTGTTATACTAAGGACACAGAAAAGGACCATAATTTTTGACAACTACCCATATGGGCTTAGACTGGGCTTAACCTCAAGGACGACATGAACCCTAAAAGGGTTTCAGGTTCATATACCATATAGGGATTCATAGTATATGGGTATTGGGCCCCTACTTTTAAGGGTCATTTGGTCCTTCAGGAAGTTGGAGGGTCTTGGGCTTAGGGGTTGGCGTTGCCAAAAGCTCAAGGAGGCAATGATTGAGGGTTACTTGGAGGTCCATGGGCAGTTTTAAGTGGAGTTACAAGTAGGGTAGCTATACTTATAACCCATATTAAGGGACTTATATCCCCACTTGTAACTACCCATGAACCTTAAACCCTATACCCTTATAGAATCCCTGTAGATCCCTTTAAAGGACCCTTATAACTACCCATGAACCTCCAAGTATGGGAATTGAGGTTCAGGTCTACTGGTTTAAGATGCAGAGTTACGGGTTCTGAACAGCGTTGCAAGGCCCCCATACGGTTGATGATATACATCCTGCATTACTTTAAGGACCCTAAACTATGGGAATTATGGTATATTCCTTATTATGGGTACTGCAGGATATTAATCATTAACCGTAGTACCAGGAGCTGCCATGAGGAGAATGCTTCTACAGCACTTTCAACGGACTAATTTCCGGCAGGACCTCCTGAACCCTAAACCCTAACTTAAACATTAAACCCTGAACCCTAAACCTTGAACCTGAAACCCTTTGCTTCGACAGTGGGCTTTTGCCCATCGGTTGGAGAATGCAGGATGGCGCGCCCATCCCATGAAGCGAGCTTCGCGCTTCACTTTGTCGGCATCTGCCAGGGGCAGCCTCTTTGCTGCCAACCTGCCTCACGCTGCAAAAGCTAATCATGTTCACAAGAAAACTGAGGTTTGGCCGCGCCTGCCACGTTGACACCAAGTCTGGTCGGAAGACGGGTATAGGGTTCTAGGGTTTAGCAGCTTTAGGGCTCAGGGTGTTGGGATCTAGATCTTGGGCTTTGGGGCTTAGGCTTTGGGCTTTCGGGTTGCAGGCGTAGGTTTAAGTGTAGGGCCTCTTGCGTGAGGAAGCAAACAAAGGACCACACCCTCCTCGTCATTGGGAACCCCTGTCGAAAGGTGTTCGTCGATCTGCAGCTACAGGAGAGTACTAACCACGAAGGATGTCAACAACTTGAGTCCCAAACCCCATTACAACAAACACCGCAAGCATCACGTGTATACAATGAACCGTGTAAGCACCATCGCAGACGCGAAATAAGTGTATCAACATGTTCTGATAAGCATATCAGCCGGAATGCTAGACCTAAACCCCCCTGAAACCTGAACCCTAAACCACTAAACCACCAAACCCTAACACCATTCCCCCCGCACCCCCACCCACACCCCCCAAGCCCTAAACTCGATGCTTAGAGTCGTTTCGTCTCTGGCCTCCGATTCCGAAACCGGGTTCTCCACGTCGCCCTGTGCAGCTTTAAAAGGAACTCCAGAAAGTTGGAATATGGTTTCAGGGTAGGATACCTTATAATTTACCATAAAGGGTTTAGGATAAGCATATTCCAACTTTCTGGCTTTTACTTTAAGCCCTTGGAGGGCTCCAGTCTTTATGTTGGAATCCGCTGCCTTTCGGGTAATGCTTCAGGGTTTTTGGTTTTTAGGGTTTAGGGTTCAGGCTTTAGGGCTTTAGGGTTTAGGGTTTAGGGTTTAGGGCTTTGGGGCTTATGAATTTGCTTGCTTTTATGACGGTTTCGGATTCATGAGTTCGCGTGTTTTCTTTTGACGGTTATGGGCTTATGTTCTACGGTTGATGATATAAATCCTGCATGACCTTAAGGACCCTAAACTATGGGAATTATGGCATATTCCTTATTGTGGGTAATGCAGGATTTATATCATCAACCGTAGGGCTTTGGTTTATGGGCTTAGGGTACTGCGACACTGGTCCTTTCGGGGTTAATGGAATTGGCAAGGATGCTGTTCAGCAGCAAGCGTTTTAAGACCACAGGGTCTAGGATTGTAGGGTTGATGTGCGACTGCAGGGATTTATGTGTAAATCCTAACCCCTGAACCCTTTACACCGTTAAGGACTGTAGGGCTGTTGATGGATTGGAGAGTGCGGTCGTGGGGATGAAGGGATCAGCGAAGGTGGGGGTTACCATGAGGGTTGGCAAAACGGTTACAATGAAGGTTACTATTAGGGCTTACTATGAGGGTGAGGTTGTTTTCAAGGGTTACTATGAGGGTGAGTGTACCACTAAGGGTTACTATGAGGCTGATTCTGCAGGTTACTCCAAAGGCTGCAGTAGAAGCCAGAAAGTTGGAATATCATTATCGTAACCCCTTTAAGATAAATTATAGGGGATCCTACCATGAAACCATATTCGAACTTTCTGGAGTTCCCTGTACTATGAAAGTTAGGACGAAAGATCGCCTGCACACTGTTCTGCCACGCACCTTGCCGAACACGACCCCCGGCAAGGTCACCCAAATCATCTGTGATCACCCTGAACCCTAAACCCTAAACCCTAAATCCTGAACCCTCAATCCTAAACCCTAATCCGCGCCATCTGGATTCCGGAGAGCGCAATACCCAGTAATTAATGGACTACACCTGAAATCACGACATTCAGGCCGCTCTAACTTGAGATGTATTGCTTCGTTGATATCAGTGTTGGGATTTCTGGGAAGAGCTCGATGAAGGTATAAAACTTACCTACTTTTCGGGTATCATGGGCAACTAAAGGTTAACTTTCTTGGTTATAAAGGGATGATATAGGGACGATACTACCCAACAAAAGTTAAAGGCTACCTACTCTACTACTAGGTTACTAAGGCCCCTACATTCGAATCCTCATAATAACCCTTCTAGACCCCTTTAACAGGAACCCTTAAAGGTTACCCCCTTAACCCTAGGCTTATTGCTGCCAAGCTGGCTTTCCCACGTTGGGGACCGGGGTGCAGGGGGGGGAGACTGACAGAACACACCAAAAAAGAGGGTCGTGCCATTTGGCCTAGGGTTTTTTGGGAAGTGTTTCTGCTCTAGATATATTGAGGAACGGTAAGGATGGATATGACTAAAGCTTGCGAGGTAGGTGTACTTGAAATCCTGAAAGTACTGCTGCGAAAAGCCGTATCTTGTCCTGGCAGACGAAGTGGGAGTTTCCAAGAATAGGGGGCCCTAATATAGCACCCTGAATAGTAGGATCCTAATTATAAGGAACCCAAAATAAGGTACCCCCCGAATTTTCGGAAACTCTCAAGTGAGGATGAGGAAGCTTCGCGAATCGGAAACTCTGGGCTTTAGAGTCGGTTTAGGGTTTAGGGTTCAGGGGTTTAGGGGCTTAGGGTTTAGGGGTTTAGGGTTCAGGGTTTAAGGGATTAGGGGTTTAGGGTTTAGGGTTTAGGGTTCAGGGGTTTAGGGGCTTAGGGTTTAGGGGTTTAGGGTTCAGGGTTTAAGGGATTAGGGGTTTAGGGTTTAGGGTTTAGGGTTCAGGGGTTTAGGGGCTTAGGGTTTAGGGGTTTAGGGTTCAGGGTTTAAGGGATTAGGGGTTTAGGGTTTAGGGTTTAGGGTTCAGGGGTTTAGGGGCTTAGGGTTTAGGGGTTTAGGGTTCAGGGTTTAAGGGTTTAGGGGTTTAGGGTTCAGGATTTAGGGCGTAGGGGTTTAGGGGTCTAGGGCTTAGGGCTTTAGGGGTTTAGGGTTTAGGGGGTTAGGAGTTTAGGGTTTAGAGTCGGTTTAGGGTTGAGGGGCCCTAAAGGAGCGACACGAGGTGCCGGAGAAAATGGCACACCTTGCTGCATTTTCTCGAGAGCCATGACGTGCGTAGAAGATTGCTGGTGTCTCCTCAGATCCTCCAGTTGCAACACATCTGCATGCTTGGTCGCCGGAACCTGGGCGAAAAAAGGTTAGAGCAAGAGAAGAAAGTCAAATGACGACCATGCCTTACAAGAAACCTCGGATTGCTTTGCACCCTTCGTGCCAAGGACATAGGGCGAAGTCGACGTTGCCGGGTTCGCTGCAGCGGCATGGCAGACTTTGCACGGCAAGCCCCAAGGACCAGTGCTGGGGGCTTGCTTCAACCACGGATTTTGCCGCCCCCGGCGACCGTAAACAAGAGCTTCTCCTGCCACTTGTCTCCGTTTTTTCAGCCAGCGGCACCGGTTGCAATTCTTGAGTGCGATTTTGGCCTTGACTTCGGGCCGGGAGCTCTGCAACACTTCTGAGAGCCCCACAGTGCAAGACCTGGATCACACCATGTACCCTTAAGTCTTCCTGCAACGGCTCCTTTCAGAGCTCTACAAGGGTGCCAGACGGGTGTAGGGTCCAGGGGATCCGGGTCATGTACTCATGTAGTATGTACCTGACCCTTCAAGTAGCACCGATATAAGTACCCGAAGGCCAAAGTATGTTCTTGTCCAAAGGTATTAGGAGGGACCTTAACAAGGTATATATCCTTGATATAGCTATTATATACCCACTATATAGCCCCATTATAGGGTAGGGGTCCCCATTAAGGGTCCCTCCTTTTCCCCTTTGAGGTGGGATACTCTCAGGAAACTATTGCTATGGCGGTTGCCGCTGCTGCTGCCGCTGCTCCCCTTCACTGCTACTCCTACGCCTACACCTACCGCTGCTCCCGTTACTCCTCCTGCCCTTATCACGCCATGGAGACATGGGAGTTCGCGAAAATAGGGGACCCTAATATAGTAACCCTAAACGTTAGGATCCTTGTTATAGGGACGCCAAAATATGGTACCCATGATTTTCGGAAACTCCCACATAAGCTAACCTATGGGAATTATCATCCGGAGTCCTGCGCTGAGAGAAAGCCCTGAACCACTAGGATGCCCAGTGACCTAGGAAAAAAAGGATTTCCCTTTTCTTACGGCTTTAGGGTTTGGGCTTACCTTTGGTTAGTAGGGAATGGAGCAATGGGGTACAATTATAACTACTATTACTACCATTCTTCCATTCCCTACTAACCAAAGGTAAATTTTCGGTATTGGGTAACTTTATAGGGAACCTAGGACTACAAAAAGGGAATAAGGGCACTACTGGGCATCCCAGGTAGTGTCGTTTGCAACTACCCTAAGCGTAGGTGGACCCTTACTTGGAGGGTCGGGGGACTTAGGCAAGTAGTAGATTCATAGACTTATAGGTATCAGAACCCCAATTAGGACCCCTTTTGGGGTACTCATAATTCTACTTATGCCTTCTTACGAAGTACCCTCCAAGTAGGGCTCCACCGATAGCTAGGGCAGTGGGCCTCGTCCGGAGAGCGCTTTGTGCTCATGGCGCAGAAGAAAACAAAGTATGGCTGCTATGCAGGGTTTAGGGTTATAGGGTTCGGAGTTCAGGGTTAGAGTTAGAGGGTTCCCTAGGGATCTAAGGACTCATATATTAAGGGTTTTGGGCTTAACGACCATACTATATAAGGCTGTTGGGCTATTTCGACCCCCAGGGGTTAAGGCTTAGGGAATTGGTTTGGAGAGTTATGGAGACAGTGTGCAGCATGGAATTAGATCGAAGCCTAAAGCTCATGATGGTGGCTAGGGCTGTGAAGTCTAGGACTAAGCCTGGCAGGGGCTTGGGATAGGAAGGGTGGGAGTTTCGGATCAATTGGATCTAGAGATGTGGAATTCAGGGTTGAGAGGATAGATCGTGTCAACGACAGGTAAGACTTACAGAGTATAGAGATCGGAATTTAAATTGCTCAATAGCATCTCGTCAAAATCCGAAAGTACCCTATAATAGATATGCACCAAACAACCCCCTACCGTCTATCACGGCTCCAAACTTTTTTGGTCCTCCCGTTCGGGAGTCCTTTGCCACTGAGCCGAGCCTGACAAGCGACCGCCGCAGCATTCTAGGATTTAGGGTGTAGGGTCTAGGTTTTGGGTATAGGGTCTAGGGTCTAGTTCTCGAAACTAGGGTCCCTTGAAAAGGCTCCTGAAAGGAGCCATAACGGTACTAAGTACTATAAGGGTCGTTCTCTAAAGTAGGGTCCCGTTTGAGGTACCAGGACCTGAAAAGGGAACTTATTTCAGAGAAGTACCAAGGATTTCAATTCTTTTATCCCTTCATAACAAAACTCTACATGGGTCTCTTCAAGTGGGTTGACCAGGCTTGAGAAGGGCCTTCTTATTTGCCTTGCGGTAAGGGTCTACGGAGTTTTGTCAGGGATTACGGGCCTTGAATAAAGGGCTTCAGCGTTTAAACAAGCCTTTATAGTTGCTCTTATTGTGGTTGTGCCTGTGATTCTGGCTGCGGTTCCCTAGGGATCTAAGGACTCATTTATTAAGGCTAGCTTGATCCCTAGCTGTTGTTGTGGTCGTTGTTGCTTTCGTCGCCAGCCTGACCTTTCGACATGGGTGGTTGTCAAAATTATGGTCCTTTTTTGGGTACCTATTATTGTACGGCACCTAGTATTTATGGTATCCAAAAAGGGACCCTAATTTTGACAACCACCCAGAGACTCCAATATCCCTTAATGAAGGAATATTCCTTAAATCATATTAAGGACCCTACTATGATTTAAGGAATATTCCTTAATTCAGGGGTGTTGGAGTCTCTGGGCACCCACATGTTTGCGGCGATGGTGACGGGTCGCGCGTGTGTGGGTGCCCTCGGGGGAGTCTGTAATAGGGTTTAGGGTTTTAGGGTTCATGGGTAGTTATAGGTGGAGTTATTAGCCCCCTAATATGGCTTGTACTTATAGTTGGACTGTGGCGCGTCTGTGCCCCTGCGTTTTCCTTCACTTCAGGGCTTTTTGACTCGGTATTTACGAGGGTTTCGGCTTTCCAGGTCTTGGGATTTTCAGGGATCATTTGGGCCTTTCGGAAAATCGGCTTTTTCCGCGATTCCAGTTTTTGCATTAGGGGGGAAAACCTTGCTCTTGTGACTGCGAGGGAAGGTGGGGGGGGGGGAGGGGGGGGGGAAGGCTAATAACGTTCTGTGTTTAGCGTTCTTGGCTTCAGGCTTGTTTCAGGATATACTTTCCATGAGTCCTGCTCTTGTGACTGCGGGGGAGGGTGGGGGGGGGGGGAGGGGGGGGAAGGCTAATAACGTTCTGTGTTTAGCGTTCTTGGCTTCAGGCTTGTTTCAGGATGTACTTGCCATGAGTCCATGGTTGTCCGTCGCCCTGGCAACTGTCCTGGTTCTGCGCGTCGCACGTTGGCCACTGCCGTCTGCGCTGCGGCGGTTCAGCGAGTTCCAGTACTGCGACATTGAGGACCACCTCTGGGCCGCTTGCTAGAATTCTTCAGATTTTGTCTCTGTTGGAGACTTTGCAGAACTTCTCTTTCCTGTCTGCGTCCCGTGCAGGTGCTGTGTCAATTTCCAGACACTGCGGTCCACATTGCTTGGACAGCGGTTCTCCGCGACACCCGACGCGGAGGATTACCCTGGATATGGTTGATTCGCTATGCGCCTTCCCTTGCCCGTTCTGCCACGGCTTGTGTGACGTCCGGTGCGTGTGGGATGCACGTCTTCGCAGCCGCGCTGCGGTACGCATCATGGATACATCGACGCTGGGGTTGGCCTTCAACATGGTCTCTGCCGCAGAGTGAGGCCGACTGGCTGGCACTGGTGCCCGTTGATCGAAACGTGTCTCGTGCTCCTCTTGGTGACACGGCTCCGGACGTGGCGGCGCCGGCCACTCCCCCGCGTCGGCCCTCTGTCGCTGCGGGCAGCCCTAGTCCAAGGACGTTGGCAAGTTGGCTCAGTCACGGAGCTCCTTCCTCCCCCCTGAGGGCCGAAGATAGTCCGGCGTCACGGCGCTTCAAGGATTGGTACGCAGCTCAGTGGTCTGGCTTGCAGGCAACTTGCAGGGCTATTCCTCTCAGCCTGCTGTGGTCGCTGTTGCTGACTCTTCTGACGAGGAGGCCCGACATCTTTCACACTTTCCAAACCACAGGAACCGGCTCGCTCGCATACTTGTCAGATTTCTTCATGTAAGGGAATCGGATCGCTGTCACGCCTGTGAGGTTTCTGCATGTGAGGGAATTGGATTGCTGTCATAACTCTGATATTTCTGATGCACAGGGACATGGAGACACACATACACACACATGCTCGCACACGCATGCGCTCGCACACGCACACTCTCCGCAGGTGCAGCAGATGGAGTCGTCCGGCGAGGCGCAAGATCTCCAGGCACGGATCTGGAATCCGCATCTCTTGGAAGCACAGGCTCGTGCTCCTGCTGCAGCGGCTGCTTCCTCTTCTGTGGGAACGACCGGTGTCCGTTCGCAGAGGGCCTCGCAGGACCGTGTACTGCCGATACCTGGATAGGTTTAGGGTATTTTTAAGAGAAAACTTTACATGCGTGCACAAGAACTCCAGGCAAGGAGCTGGAATCCGCATCTCTTGGAAGCACCGGCTCGTGCACCTGCTGCAGCGGCTGCTTCCTCTTCTGTGGGAACGACCGGTGTCCGTTCGCAGAGGGCCTCCCAGGACCGTGTACCGCCCATACCTGGATAGGTTTAGGCTATTTTTAAAGGAAAACTTTACACATGCGTGTGTGTTGCGAATAGCCCACCATAGCCTCACACCCACCAGCACCAGCACTCACCATCCTGCAGGCACCCACCCTCCAGCCACCCACCAACCTGTCCTGCGCCAGCCATGCTAGGCCAGTGAACATGTTCTGCGCTACGTTGCAAAAAGCAAAAAAAAGAAAGAACCCTAAACCTCAGCCCTCTTTCCAGACCGTGGCTTGCGCTCACGAGAGGCCATTTGAGCGAGTGGGAAGGGGGGGGAAGCGGCTTTGCCTGCACGTACCTCCCTAGCCCCATGCAAGCATCGGTCTGGAACACAACCTAACCCGCATGGGTTGGGCCTCAACCCTAAAGTCCCTAAAATTTTGGCTCAATGGCAGACCTCACCAACCACCCCCCCTCCTGCCACCCACCTTCCAGCCATCAGCCCTCCAGCCACCTTTCCAGCCACCCACACTCCAGCCACCCACGCTCCAGCCACCCACGCTCCAGCCACCCACTACCTGAGCCAGCCACCCACCACCTGAGCCAACCACCCACCCTTCCAGCCACCCCTCCACCACTCACCCCTCCTGGAGGTTGCGATTAGCGATTAGCGATATAAAGGGTTCGGTTAGCGACGCATTGCGGTATTGGATTAAAAACATTGTAGAAACAGCCATGATCAATGTAAGCATTCCTTTTCTCATATCGAATGTTTTAGTCTGCTCGCTGCACTCTGCCTCTCATCCGCAGGCTGCTCTTCCAGATCCCATTGAGCAATATCAGGAACTTCCCGGCCAAGAGATTCCTGACGCAGAGGCCTTAGATTATGCGCTGGACCCTGAGCCTTGAACCCTGAACCGTCAAGCCTAAAGCCTGAATCCGGCGCTGACGTGCCCGATGCAGAGGCCTCGCGCGCTGCTCCTTCTGAGAAGCGGCAGCCGAAATGGGGGGCCTGCGAAAAATGCAGCTATTCGATGCAGCCTCACATCTTTAGCAGCGGCAGGCGCTGCCTAGACTCAACTTGATCCTGAACTTCTTCATGTTTCCATTCCCTGTGCTGCAGGTGGGAGAACCACCTCCGTCTCTTATGTTCGCAATTCTGGAAACATGGCCGCGACGGAAAAAGAAAGTGTTGGCATAGTGTTCCATTTCCCATGGCTCGCTTGAACGAGGCCGGTCGCGAGATACGTGCTTATGGCAGGGACGTTCGCACATATCTTTTGAACCATGGCAGCAAGTCCATGGGTTGACGTGCTCCGCCGTATAGCTCAACTCTTTTGTTGCATGCTGCTCTCCGCTTTTCCACAGCAGTTGTGCCCAGACAAAAAAGCTCTGATTGGCAGACAGCAGATCCATGCTCGTAAAGACTCAAATCTTTCGTCAGCAACCAGATGTCGCAAAGCTGTTTTGTCTCAGTGAACGGGGCGTGTCGCTGCAGAGCTGTTGTCGGCGCTCCGTCCTTTTGCAGGCCACTGGATTAAGCAACGGCTTTGAACCTCGAAAACCCTGCGCCTCTCACCCACATCGCCCAGTGCGTTAAGCCTGCCGCAGGTCTGAATGGAGAGATGCGTCGAGCTGCGTGTTCTGGACATTCTGCCGGCGCTCGCAGCTACTTTGCTCACGACGCTGCCTGTTCCACAGGACGGTGTCTTCAAATGTCCACATTTGGTTTTCTTCTCTGTGCCTTCCAAGCTTTTGTCCAATAGATAAACTCTGAGCCGGGCTGCACAGGATCGTGAGATGTGGGTCGCACAGGTTTCCAAGCATCTGATCGACGGATTGCTCCATGTATACTTCCTCCTGACGGCTGACCGGCAAGCTCTCTTGGAGGACAATTCTGCGAAAAAGTTTTCGAAACTTCTCACAGTCCCTTGCTTTCCAGGACATTCGTTCTCTTGTGGCCCTCCTCTTGTCCTTAGAGAACTGGGTGAGAACGAACGAGTTGCGCGTGGTCCATTCCGGCTTGCCAGTTCGACAGGCCTGCCAAGGTTCCACAAGTGGAAACCTTGACCTCTACTGTCCGGGAGACGTTGGCCAGCAACAAGAGGTTCTCCAGGAAATTGTCGCTTTCCATCGCCATGTTCAATCATTCGGGGACTGTCTGCTCTTACGTGCTGACGTCATGTCCATGTTCCACACTGCCATGAGAGCTTCCCGAGACATTGTTTGTGTATTGCGCTGCAGACTTGCAGCTCCCGAACAACACCTGTAGCTGTGACGACCAACAGATGCTGAGCTTCCAAGCCAAAAGACAGCACACCGCCGCTGCATTTACTGATTCTACAGCTGCAGTTGCACTTAGAAGCTTCTGCCCGGGCACCTGCGGCCGTAGGTCCAAGGCTAGTCTGGGGAAAAGGCTTCCGGAGCTCCGTGCTTCCTCGTGAAGCATGCCTGTTTCCAAGCGGTGTCTTAAAAAGACCGCACAACACCGCTGTAGCATATGCCACAAAGAGGGGCATCGCATGGAGACTTGCTCCTCCCCAGCGGCAAGGAAGATTCGAGAGTTGAAGACTCAGCTCCAGGTGCTTGTCGCTTTCGCTGCCTAGGGTCTTCGGTGTCGCTCTTTCGGTGTAGCTCTCGGCCATCATTCTTGTGGGGTTTTGGTTAGGGTCTAAGATTTAGGGTTCAGGGTTCAGGGTTCAGGGTTTAAGGTTCAGGGTTTAGGGTTTTGGCTTTAAGGTTCAGGGTTTTGGGTTTATTTAAGGTGCCGGGTTGCGGGTTTCCTGCCAACAGTAAACACGAAACCCTGTATACTATAACCCCTCTCCTTGCTGCGCAGGCACTCAAGCAGAAGCAAGCCTGCAAGTACGCCAAAGTGGAACGTGTGGAGAAGAAGCGCAGGAGCACCCAGCAGGTGGGCCCGGTGGCCAAGAGACGCGAGCGCAAGGCAGTCTACGACAACTCCGAGTCTCTGCCAGTGCCGGTACCGGCGGAGTTGCGCAGGTTCCAGGGTTGCTTTCACAAAGCTTTTTTTTAAGCCCTCGAATCAATCCCTAAACCCTTATAACCCTTACATCGCAGGCGCAAACCTGCGGACGAAAGCCTGACCAAGACCCTCAGCAACGATAGCGAAGCGATTGAGTGGCTCGTGAATAAGGGCTTCCTGCCTAGAGAACCGTTGTGTCAGACTTGCAACAGCCGCGATGTGACCATGATCCCCGCCACGGTGCATCATCCAGCGCATTGGAGGTGCGACTGCTTTGGTTCCACAGTCATAGCTAGCCAGCTGCTTTTCCTGAACCTCTAGTCCTAAACCCTATACCCTGAGGTGCTTGCATTCCGAATGCAGAGCTCGCACGTACATGCTGCAGACCTCTGCTTTTCGCGGTCTGAGCTGCTCCCCGCTCAAGCTCGTGGATTTGATCAGATGCTACGTTGGTCTGGATTTGACTTTGGCGCCGCGCTCTCCGCAACTGACTCAGACCTGCCACATCGGCAGGACAGCAGCTGCTTGACTGATTCCAAGCCCGAAGCCTAAACTCTATACCTCTTGCTCCGAAGCTGATTCGGACACTTAGGCTGACCACTTCTTGGGTGTCCTCAGACACGTTGAAGCTTCCGAAGGCCTGAAATGGTCTTCAGAGGTCTCTCTGAAAGGTGCAGTCGAAGTCGACGGTACTTCCTTAGGAAAGTTCTACGTTTCAAAGACTTGCAACAGGTTTGCCCCGCAAGTTGCTGCACTCACTCGCAAGCTGCAACGTGCAGGCAAACCTCTGCCCAAGGCCTTCGTTGTGCACTTTCAAGTTTTGGGGGCACGAGAACGTGGGCAGCCCCCTGTTCTCTTTGTGCCTGAACCCTCGCTGACCGTTCCGGGGTCCCGGCCTCCCACAGAAAGCCTTGAGGCCATCAACCAGTCGGGATTGCTCACGCTGGTCAGCAAGCCCGAGGCTACCGTCATATTCAGTGATGGAAACGTGGCATGGCAAAGTGCCGCCAAAAAGATGCGGTTGAAAAATGCCGCGGTCAATCATCAGAACAAACAGTGGACGAAGCATGTCCCCCGGCACCTTGGCAAAGCCAGGTCTGTGAGCAGACTTGCCGGCACGCAGTGCATCGATCGAAGCTGGCTGGGCCTGAAGACATTCATAGGCAACAAGGTCTCGCGCAAAAGCGGTCGTGGCCAGAATGCCTGCGAAAGCAATTTGGTTCGGCAGCTCGTGCACCAGTACATGTACAGGCAAAGCAAAGGCCCGTGTTCTCCTGCAGAGTTCTTGCTGCACTTGGGAAGCAGCTTTCGAGCGATGCAGGACTAGCTTCTGCAGCAGCCGTCTGCCAGCACTACAGGGAGTGGACTCTGGTGCCTCAACTGTAAACCCTCACGACGTCAACACTAGCCCCTAAACCCAAACAAAACACCGTTGCAAGCTCCAAGCTTCCGCCTGTGCTTTCTGCAGACTTCTGGCTGCACTTGGGAAGCAGCTTTTCAGCGATGCATCGCTAGCTTCTGGAGCTGCTGTCTGCAGACACTACAGAGAGTAGACTTTGCTACCTGTACTGTAAACCCTGAAGACGTGATCCCGAAAGCCTCAAACCTAAAGACTTTGTCATGTCAGCAGCTCTAGTGGCCACAACAACTGCCATATCATGCAGTGAGATTTTGCAACGACGACTACCAAGACTGCAGCAAAAAAAACCCAATGTGCGAAACCAACAGTAACTTTAGAAGCGAACCAAAACTAATATTTTTGTTCCCAAGCCCCTCTCCAAGCCTACATGCATAATCTCTCGCGTTTACCAGTGTTTTCCTGCTATGACACTCACAATCCATCAGGGGCGCACATGCGCCACGCACCTTATAGTTACCCCCTACTTAAAGCTCCACTTAGAACTACCCATGAACCTCCAAGTAAACCCGGAGACACGCCTTTTGCAAGCGCCTCCCTGACCAGAAGGGCCGCAGTATCAGAGGTCATTGAGAAGCGGCTACGTGCGTTTCACGTGCTTGCTCCTTGCCATTTGGGAGTCTCCGAAAACAGGGGATCCTAATTAAGATGAAACCCTAGGATCCTTAATAGAAGGACCCCCCAAAATATGGTTAATATGAAACCCTAAATGGTAGGATTAAGGACGCCCCTAAAATCTGGTTCCCCTATTTTCCGGCTCCTCCCTGCCATTTTAAGTCTACAATGACGGGGTAGTGATCGGAGGGATCTCTGAGGGAAGGTAAGACTTCCTGCAGTGCATCCTTGGCACTGGGATACTGCACGGGCTGGTGTACCTCGGCTGCCCCTAAGGCCCAAAATAGCCCAAAAGCCTTCTATATCTATCTTTATATATATATATATATACATTATATAGTATGGTCTTTGGGCCCAAAAGCCTTGAAATATGAGTTTTCAGAGAGGACTTTAAGGCTGAGGGCTTCAAGGATTTCGGGTGTTTAGGGTTTAGGGCTCCGGGAGTTTCAAGCATTTCGGGTGCCTCGGCTGCGGAACTTCCGGGGTTCTATGAGGAGCTTAGGGTTTTGGGGAGTTTTGGGTTTAGGGTTTAGGGGTTCTATGAGGGTTCCGGAGGGTTGCTATAAGGGTTCTATAAGGAGCTTAGGGTTTTGGGGGAGTTTAGGGTTTGCAAAAACACAAAGCAACACCCATGAGCCATTAGCAAAAAAAGGCCAAGAGCCCTCCAACCTTCTTGAAACCCTTTTAGATCCCTTAACGAACCCGAACGTGCAACACTACCAGGACCCTTGAAAGTAATCCTGCTCTATTCATTCATAACAGCATTTCATCCAATCCCTTGAAGGGAAGCACCTTTACTGGCAGCCCTCAATGCGAACTTCATTTTGACACCGTATTGTAGAAACCTTACACCAACCTCATTATACACACCTATGAAAGAACCGTTAATTACAGGAAGCCCAGAAAGGGATTTGTAGAACCCGATCATAAGCAACCGTCTGTGAAGAACCGCTAGGCAATGCCCTTTGAATGTCCCTACAGACCCTTCAAGACTCTTTCCCTGCAAGTTCTTCCCTTTTTCCGCAATCATGGAATACCCTAAACCCTAACCCTTAAGTTATAGCAGGCTTCAGCAGGATCCCTAATTTGACTCCAAGAGTATTCCCTATTTAGGGTATGGTAAACATTAAGGCCCCTATAAGACTCCTTCCCAGCAAGGCGCATGTTCATGGAACTGGAGGTTCCCCGCGTAGAAGACATGGTCAATGACGGAATAGGCGTGCAAGCCAATCTTCCTGAGTTTTGGGTTTTAGGTTTTAGGCTTCACGTTCAGGATTTAAGGCTTCCTGAGTTTACGTTAGGGAACCGTTTTAGAGTTCACTGCTGGCGGGATCTGTGTTTGACACTTCTCAGCACAAGTTCTCGAACCCGATTCCTTGGCTTCAGATCGAGCGACAAGAGAGAGCAGCTTGAGCAGGAGTTTGAACCTTTTGAAACAAGGCAGTTGCGGACACAGTTTAAACACCACACTAGTCAAACTTGTGCGAGACTTCTCAGAAAACATTATAAACGCATCCAAACGCCCCGCTAAACCCCTAAAGCCTGATCCTTATCTAAACCAAAGCTAGAATGCCCAGCAACCTACGAATAGAAAGGGCGCCCTTTTCGGTATTGGGTAGCTCTACAGGGAACCTAGGACTACAAAAAGAGAATAAGGGTACTACTGGGCATCGTTGTAAACCTCATAAACCCCCCAAAAGCCCTAAACCCTACACCCATTAAACCTCATAAAACCCTAAACCCCTTAAACCAGGGAACCTAGGACATCCTACTATCTAAACCAAAGCGTTCAAAGCCAAGTGTCTTGGCTTGGGCCGACTGTGGCCCTCGAACCTATCCCGGGGCCAGCAGAACCCGGGGCATCGTTCGGGGAGGTCTCTTGCGGCTTAGGCTTGGGGTAAGGGTTTAGGGTTCTTAAAGTCCTCCTTAAAGGGATCCATAGGGTTCCTTAAAGGGATCTATGGGGCTTAGGGTTAGGGTTTAGGATTTACGGTTACGTTTCGAATTGAAACTTTTCGGGTATAGGGTTTATTTACGGCTTAGGGTTTAGATAAGGTCTGTATGCGGGCTGAAAAAGTTTCAGCAGGCCGCCATAAGGGCTGCTTCGGTTCTGCACAGGGCTTCTTAGGGGCGGTGTCTTCTGAAAGTACTTAGGATTCCCAAGGGTCTTTGTATGTGTCTTCCTAGCAACTTTACCGTCTATGAGGCGCCCTGCAGCATAGTAACAATGGCATTGCAGGAGTTTCTGTGGTTGTTTAAGACTGTGTGGAGAAAGGCAGTTATTTGGGCTGCAGCAACTTGTCATACTTGTAGTTGCCGTGGATACTTAACTAGCTAGTATGGCAATATGGGAGATTCCGAAAATAGGGGACCCTAATATGGTACCCTAAACAATAGGATCCTTATTATAAGGACCCCAAAATGGGGTACCCCCAGTTTTCGGAAACTCTAAATCTTAAACCCTAAACCCTGTATAGAACCCTTTTTGATCCCTTTAAGGAACCCTTAAAGGATCCCTTTAAAAGTACTCTTAACGAACCCTCATAGAACCGTTATTTACTGCAATCCAAAAGAGGCTCGCGGATATGAGGACCTTCTCCGAGGGAGACCGTCATCGAGGATCACAGATGGGTGGTTGTCAAAATTAGGTTCCCTTGTCGGGTACCCTAAATAATAGGTGCCGTATTATATTCGGTGCCCAAAAAGGATCCTAATTTTGACAACCACCCAGATGAACTTGTACAGGGCTTGCTATTTTGATCTTCATTTTAGGGCCCTAACCCCCACTAGGATGCCCAGTGACCTAGGAATACAAAGGGCTCCCAAATCGGTATTGGGTAACTTTATAGGGAACCTAGGACTAAACGGGTACTACTGGGCATCCTAACCCGCAACCCTCAAACTCCACACCCTCGAAGCTTAAGATCTGTTACAGAATCAAGGTAAGCTAAGCGGTAGAATGACCGGGCAATCGATTTCAAGCAATCCAAAGGTTTAGGGCTTGGGGGATTATGATTAGCATTTTAGATACATTGCTGAGGATTTCAGGGTGTGAAAGCCTCTCAGGTATACTCCCAGGCCTTGTTGGTTGTCACCGGGTGCTCAACATCTTTCCTCTTCCCTTCGGCGATGTAGCCCCCGTTTTCGTTGTAGAACTCGTCCCACACCTAGGTTCTCCACTACACCTCCTGTGTATACCAAGCGTACAGCTCTTCCTAGAGTTCAGGTTTAGTGTGTCTAGGGTGTACATTAGTTAGGAGGCCTCGGAATAAGAAAGACAACCGCTTTCCTGTTGGGTGACCAGGGCACTGAAGCCCCAGCCGCGCGATGGAGCTCCTGCCAGCACGAAGCCTTCCTTTCACCTGGCATCTTGTTACGGGATTCCTGGGCATCCGAAACCCTACTGTTTCACCCGTCATACCCAAGAATTATGGGGTCATAACCTACTATGTTGAAGGGTTCGGGGATGCAGGTTGAATTTAAGTTACCATAATATGGCAACCATATACTTTGCTATAGAGCCCTATTGTGGTAAATTGAATTCAAGCTATTATACTAAGGAAACCATATTGTTTGCTACAGACACCTAGAAAGGCAAAGTAGCTTCCTTAACTACTATTTGCTTAAGAACCCCCAAAAAATGAAAAATATATTCCTTATGGGGGTAATATAGGGATTATTATTTAATTTTTTTGGTGGTTTCTTAAGCAAATAGTAGTTAACAAACCCAGTCACCGGGCGGCTTCGTCTCCGGGTGCGAGTTGGCATCCATGCAAACGACCAGGTTCTCACCCGAACCACGGAGTTCTTTGATGGCCGGTATGAGGCCACCTGACAGTGGGAAATGGTACGGTTGATGATATAAATCCTGCATTACCTTGAGGACCCCAAACTATGGGAATTATGGTATATTCCTTATTATGGGTCATGCAGGATTTATATCATCAACCGTAGGAAAGCTGGCATGATCGGAGGAATGCTGCCTTACTGGGTAGAACAGACAAGCCAAGAACGGAGAGGTTGCTTCATGCAACTGTCCTATGCAACACAGCGAAGACAGCTTTCGACATGCGACTGCACATCCCTAGTTCATGCCGGCACTGTGCAGCCGACATCATGCAAAAGACCCCTCTACTTGGAGGGTCGGGGGACTTAGGTAGTAAGTAGACTTATAAGTACCCTAAAAGGGACTCTAATTGGGGCTATGGTACTTAAAACTCCGTAAAATAACCAGTTACTAAGTCCCCCGACCTTACAAGTAAACCCTAAACCCTTTGCGCCAAGGAAGCCCTAAAGAACTCCTGAGCCGCAGCAGGAGCCTTCACAGAGAAGCTCAGAACTTAAGCGCTCTTCTTCATCCTTTGGTTCTTCGCCCGAACCTCTGGATGACTTTCGGACTTTAGGGTATATTCGGATGCCTAGTAGTACCCTTATTCCCCTTTTTGTAGTCCTAGGTTCCCTCCCCCAACGCCCTACTACTGAAGAGCCCTAGCTGCGAAGGCCGGGGCTGGTTTCGGGGAGCGGCTTCATTAGGCTTTGGGCTAACCTTTATCATACGGGGGGGGACTAAGTAGTTATTTTATGGACGTTTAAATAAAGTGTCATAACCCTACTCAGGACCCTTTTAGGATACTTACCAGTTTTCTTACCTACTTACTAAGTCCCCCGGCCCTCCCAATACCTAAGGTTATGCTTTCGTCCCGGAAACTCTCGTCGAATCCTTACTTAATTCCAACTTGGTTCAACACATCCTCGAGTCCTCACGGGGCTCTAGACGGATTATTGTACTATAGTGGATAGGGCCTTCATGATTAGAATAGGGTTTAGTTTAGAAGCCCATTATATTCTACTTTGATTAAGGAACCCCCTCAAATAGCATTTGTAATTATTCAAGCCCCTATATCAAACAGATTATGGTAATCGAAGAAGGCTGAAGGCTACTTACTCCACTACACAGAAACAGGGACCTAGACGACTGGTGTGTTGTCGGAGGCGGGAGGCTTCTGTTGTAGCCATGTTACAGTCAGTGCTACGGTTGATGGTATAAATCCTGCATGACCCATTATGAGGAATATACCATAAGTCCCAGAGTTTAGGGTCCTTAAGGTAATGCAGGATTTCTATCATCAACACTGGGGAACTCTTCAGGACAAGTAATGTTTTTGGTTGCAGGCCCTAAACTTCCTGAACCCCATGAACCCAGAACCCTCGTAGGCGAATGTAGAACAATCCTGGCATGACAACTCCTCCAAACCTTCACGCAGCAACAACCCGACGACCGTCACTCGCGAAACCTTTCCCATTAGGATAACCTTGAGACATCCGTACATCCTGCTCGTAAATCCTGCGTAAACAAACCTAAACCCTAACCCCTTGCACCCCTATACCCTGAAGCCTACCTGAAGCGCTTTTGCAAGCTCTACACTCTAAGCCCTGAAACTCTGGGAGCTTGCCGGTGGCGTGAATAAACAGAGGCTTCTTTCGAAAGGGTTTTGCAAGGGGGTTCGATGGTATACAGGCCTTTATGACCATTACATTCTCTCGTACAGTTAAGTTGTCGCCGAACCACAAGCATAATGAGATGATCCTGAATATGAGCATCCCTCAAGTAGTTTTTTCCCTGCATCTGTCGGCTTCAATGTATGCATGCGTCATGTACTTTATCTCGACGTTTTGCGCAGCCTCTCCATACTTGACCCGGAGAGCCTATGCACCCACCTCAGTGTGCACCACCGCACAGCGCTATCGCGAAAGCCTTTCCCATACCGACCGAAGGGAGCTCACGACTCGGCACTTCATCGTACCAAAGAGTCTCACGGCGAGGCTGCTTGTGCGGCCTTGTCATGGCCGGCTGCTTGTACAACTCCTGCGACATACGAAGTTTCCAAGGAATGTATTTCCACTCGCGATCTTGGATCTGTTTCGAGACAAGAGCGAACAATCGCGGGTTAGGCATCGCATCGGAAGACAGCGGCTCCGATGGAGACCGTGCCTTGAAGCGACGCACCATCTCGTGGACTTTGTCCGAAAACAATTTCTTCGGAAAAACCTCCGTCCAACTCGATTCCGAAGCTCCAGCAGTGGAGACCTGAGGAACCGCCGTGCCCGCAGCGGGCGTAGCCGAAAGCGCATGGCATTCCTTCCACAGGGCCCTGGCTTGGCTTGTTAGCTTGGGGCTCCACGAACCTGCTAAATTTGGCAAGCTAAGCTGCAAAGCAAAGCCTACACTAGCTTCCGCATTAGCCCGAATTAGTCTACTACAGGACTTAATGCCTTAAAAACAGAAGCATCCAGGAACCCGACGCCCCCAAGGGCCTAAAGGCCTCAAATGTAAACCACTAAACCCCCCCTCAGAAGCTCTGCAATTCTAACTTCCAGAACCCCGGAGAAGGCCAGGAGGCTGAGGTGGGTGCCCAGCACCACCTTACTTTCTTTCCGGCTGGGTTTAGGGTCCCAGGTAAGATAGAGGCCTTAATAATCAGAATATGCTTCTGGGGCCCGTTAGACTATAGTTGTAATAAGGACCCACCAAAAATAGTATGGGACACCTCACTTTCTATTGGGGCGTAGTGCGGGGAGTGATACTACAATGGTTATTATAAAGGTTCTATGGCTTTCTATAGGGCTCTATAGGGTTTTATCGGGTTCTACAGGGTTTTAAAGGATTTTATAGGGTTCCAGGCATAAGGCTCGGAGGACTTAAGGTTTGGGTGCAGGCTTTATTGTTTAGGGTTGAGCAGGGTCTATAAGGTCAAAGGGGAAAAGGAGGGACCCTTAATAAGGACCCCTACCGTCTAATGGGCTATATAATGGGTATATACTGGCTTTATTAAGGGTATATACCGAGGGGTCCTTATGAAGAGTCCCTTCTTTTACCCTTGAATAAGGGTGTCGACGCAGTTCGTTTCGTGGGGTTTCCGGGCATGCCCTGCAAGCGGAGGAGTTTTGCAAAGCGTTCTACAGGTCTTTCGTAACAGGTTGTGCAGCACATAAGTGTATTATTGCTGCTACATGAAGTTGCAGGCCGAAGACCCAACAAGGCGCGCATAAACCTATCTCTATGGCTTGCCGTAAAGCTGTAACGGCTGAGTGTTTGATCCAGATCAGTTAGAAGCTGCCCCCACCCTGTAATAGTGACTATGAGGATTATATAGGATTATATTAGGGCCCTATTATATTCCTATTATACCACTATTACAGGGTGGGGGCAGCTTCTAACAGATCAGGCTAACACTCGTGAAGTTTGGGGGCTGGAGACGATCCTCGTCCGTTCTTGTGCAGGCATCCCCAGACCCCCGGGAGGATCTAGAAAGTAGATCCCCTAATTTGGGGCCCTATACTACTCAGGGGACTTTATAGGAACCACCATTAAGGGATCTACTTTTTGGATCCTGCCGGGGGTCTGGGTCAGGGTTATGTTGTAAAGCAGGTCCTGTGTGGCTACCCAAAACCCCAAAGGAAGGAGTCTGTACAACCTTGCAAAATGCCCTGAAGCACCCTAAACCCTAAAGCCTGGACCACCAACAACTGCACATCCTGAACCCCTAAGCCCCTAAACTTCCAAACCCTGAGCCCTCAAACGAAGCCAAACAGATCAAAGCTGCAGGGGTCCATAGCACCCTTGTGGAAACCCTGCTGAAACAAGCTGCCAGGGTCCGTAGAATCCTCCCAGAATTTCTGGGTTTCAGAACCCTAAGAGGCTCCCTTCAAACTGCACAGAGCTGCAAGGGTGCATGGAACCCCTGAACCCCTTTTGCAGACCATGAAACCTTAAGAGCCCTAAGCCCTTAAGAACCCTAAGAAGGTGCTCAATGTCGCCAAAAGATGCTATGGAACACGAATAAGAGCCAAAAGCCCCGTTTAGGAACCCTGAACACTTCAGCAACCCTAAAAAGGCTCCCCTTAACTAGAAGACAATTGGCCCGAAAGCATCATCAGCGAAGAGTGTTGCGCTACGTCATACAATCCAGTGTATAGGGTCATAGAGTCACCGAGTCAAAAGCACGGAGTCACAGAGTCGGAGTGTCACATACAGTCAAGAGTCGTACAAGTCATAGTTCATAGAGTCATCGAGAAATAGAGTCGAGTACATGTCAAGCACAAGTCATAGTTCAAAGAGTCATAGAGTCATATAGAGTCATAGAGTCACAGTGAGACAGAATCATAGAGTCATAGTGTTATAGAGTCATAGCGTCAGAGTGAGAAAGAGTCATAGAGTCATGGAGTCATCTATGTACCACGCACTTGACTTGATGTAGTTCACTCTATGAACACTAATGTTCAGGTTTAGCGGGTTTAGGGTATAGTCCAACATGACGCAGAAGTCTTCCTTTCCTAGCTCCGGAACCTCACTATATAGACATCCCTGTTACTGTGGTTTCAACGTGACTCTATGACTCTATGCATGGTCACTTTATGTCGCAGCAGTAGTAGTAATAGTAGTAGTAGTTGTAGTTGTTGTTGTTGTGGTAGTAGTAGTAGTAGCAGTAGTAGCAGTAGCAGTAGTAGTGGTAGTAGTAGTGGTAGTAGTAGTAGTAGTAGTAGTAGTAGTAGTACTAGTAGTAGTAGCAGTAGTAGTAGTAGTAGCAGTAGTAGTAGTAGTAGTATTTTGTAGTAGTGGTAGTAGTAGCAGTAGTAGTAGTAATAATAGTTGTAGTAGTGGTAGTGGTAGTAGTAGTACTAGTACTAGGTCGAACACTCGACAACGCCAATCTCTGTGAAGGGTTGCAAGTCTCACCTCAATGCACATCAAAAGTAATAACTTTACCTCGCGTTCGAACACTCGACAACGCCAATCTGTGTGAAAGGTTGCAAAATTCATCTCAATGCACATCAAAAATTGCAACTTTACCTCGCGTTCGAACACTCGACCACGCCAATCCCTGTGAAGGGTTGCAAAATTCATCTCAATGCACATCAAAAATTGCAACTTTGCCTCGCGTTCGAACACTCGACCACGCCAATCCCTGTGAAGGGTTGCAAAATTCATCTCAATGCACATAAAAAATTGCAACTTTACCTCGCGTTCGAACACTCGACCACGCCAATCCCTGTGAAAGGTTGCAAAATTCATTTCAATGCACATCAAAAAATGCAACTTTACCTAGCGTTCGTGCATTCGACCATGCCAATCCCTGTGAAAGGTTGCAAAATGCCAATCCCTGTGAAGGGTTGCAAAATGCAGTTGAGGTGCGCCCAAACCCTGTGAAGGGTTGCGCGGCGCCCGCAAAATGTGTAACTTTACCTCGCGTTTGAACACCCGAGGAGGCGAATCCCTGTGAAGGGTTGCGCGGCGCGCCAAAAATGTGTAACTTTACCTCGCGTTTGAACGCCGGAGGAGGCGAATCCCTGGGAAGGGTGCGAAGCGCACCGTAAAATGTGTAACTTTACCTAGCGTTTGGGCGCTCGAGAGTTCCAATCCCTGGGAAGGGTTGCGCCGGGCGCCTAAAATGTGTAACTTTACCTAGCGTTTGGGCGCTCGAGGAGGCGAATCCCTGGGAAGGGTTGCGCCGGGCGCGTTTGGGCGCTCGAGGAGGCGAATCCCTGGGAAGGGTTGCGCCGGGCGCCTAAAATGTGTAACTTTACCTAGCGTTTGAGCGCTCGAGGAGGCGAATCCCTGGGAAGGGTTGCGCGGCGCGCCAAAAATGTGTAACTTTACCTCGCGTTTGAACGCCGGAGGAGGCGAATCCCTGGGAAGGGTGCGAAGCGCACCGTAAAATGTGTAACTTTACCTAGCGTTTGGGCGCTCGAGGAGGCGAATCCCTGGGAAAGGTTGCGCCGGGCGCCTAAAATGTGTAACTTTACCTAGCGTTTGGGCGCTCGAGGTGGCCAATCCCTGTGAAGGGTTGCATTCCCGATGGACGACGTCGGTGCCACCCTGGCTTTAGAAGAGAGATTAGATACCGAGATGTAGAGTGTAAGTCAGAGAGTAAGTCAGAGAGTAAGTCACAGAGTAAGTCACAGAGTAAGTCAGAGAGTAAGTCAGAGAGTAAGTCAGAGAGAAAGTCACAGAGTAAGTCATAAGTCAGAGAGTAAGTCAGAGAGTAAGTCACAGAGTAAGTCACAGAGTAAGTCAAGAGTAAGTCACAGAGTAAGTCACAGAGTAAGTCACAGAGTAAGTCACAGAGTCATAGAGTAGTCAAGTGAGTAAGTCACAGAGTCCTCAAGTTCATAGAGTCATAGAGTAGTCAAGAGTAGTCAAGTTCGGTCTTAGAGTCATAGGGTCATAGAGTCGTAGACCCAAGTGTCAAGTCATAAGGTCATGTGCTCGATTCTATGTTTGTCATCTATGTATCAAGTGTCTAAGGTCATGTGCTCGATTCTATGTTTGTCATCTATGTACTTGTCTACCCGGCTCCGCACGGAAGAACCCTTCGCGACGCTTTCGGGAAAACTGCTCAAAGCCGTCAAAAAACGCTATTTAGTATGGCTCTCGGGCCACTTGCCTCAAAATGATGAGTCGTTAAACCCTTCTGAAGAAACCTACACCCCTTTTGAAGAACCCTAAGCTGGATCCCTTAAGACTATACTGAACTTAGAACCCGAGCAAAACTATAATATTGGCTGTTTCTTAGGGATTATAATAACAACAAATTAAAAAATATTTCTAAGTACCTCCTAAAACCTAGACCTAAGAGTAACCTAGGCATAAAAAGGGTGCCCTTTTGGGTTTAAAGGGTGTTATAAGGGAACCTAAACCCTAAAAAAGGGAATAAGGGCCTACTCTGGGTCCTAGAAATGGATCTTAGTACCCCCTTAAGCCCTTCAGAATCCTAAGAAGCCTCCCTTACCCTAACCCTTTTTAGGAGCCCTAGGCCCTAAGCATTACAGTAACCCTAAAAAGGCACCCTTAAAGCAGCTCAAAGCCGCCAGGGTGGACTTCGGATCTCTGCGGTCTGAAAGCCTCGGACGCCGGCGGAGCTTTCCGGGCGGAGAGTGCCCAGACAGTCCAGGGATTTAGGATTGGGGTCTCAGAGACTCCAATATCCCTTAAAGGAATAGTCCTTAATTACTTAAGGGATATTGGGGTCTTTTGGGGTCTCCCTGATGCTGTTTGGGGTTTAGGGGTTTAGGATGTAGGGCTTAGGAGTTTAGGGTTTAGCCGAGTACCCCCATAATCCATAAATTAAAGCGGGGCCATCATATTACGATTTCAGGCATACGCCGGAACATACCTAAAATCTTGGGATGAAAGGGATACTAGGAAGCAGATTGATATGGTTGATCCCTAAACGGGGATTGTAGAGACCGGATAAGTAAGGGGCCGAAGCCCAAAATCATTTACTATAGGGGCCTTGATAATTGGAATAGGGGTTTCTTTGAAGGGCTCCTTTAAAGGGTTCTTTCAGGATTCCTATACATATTGAAAAAGGTTCTATAATAAGGTAGGGGCCTTAATGATTAGAAGAGGGTTCTGGGGCCCATTTTTCTATTCATCATACGGAATACCTTAGAAGGGCCCCCCACCCTGTAGTAGGGCCCTGATATAATCCTAAAAGTCACTATTGCAGGGTGGGGGCCCCTTCTAAGGAATACCCAACATAGTATTGAGGGCCCCTGTAGTAGGGCTCCTAGCCTGAACTTGCTTAAAGCAATTCCTTTAGGGGTTGCATCAGAATCCTACAAGGGCTCGGCCCATCGAAGGATTCCTTTGGAGGGTTCGTTGGAGGTGATACTACTGTGGATGGACAATATCCTGCATGACCCAATATAAGGAATATACCATAATTCCCATAGTTTAGGGTCCTTAAGGTCATGCAGGATTTTGTCCATCAGCCGTATGACGGGACACCAGAAGTGTCTCTATAGGCAGCCAGGGTGGTTTGGGGCTTTCGGGTTTCAGATGTACCGGCTCCTTTTGAGGGTTCTGGCTAATCCTGCAGGATTTAGGCCAGGTCCCGAATGCCCCCTCTATTCTTTACGGCGCCGTTTTCCCTGATATTCACTGTTAACAAGGAAACCCAACAGGATCCAAAAGGGCAGTACTGGGGAACTTAGTATGGGGAGATACAGGGACTTTTCAGGCCTCCTTGGGTTTTAGGACTGAAACTTATGTCTCGAATGGCTTGTCCTTTATCCCCCCCTCATGCGCCCCGAGACAGGCGTGTGAAGAGCTCGTACCGGCTCGAGCTTGCGAATGTAAGTCTTGATGAGGAAAAGGCTAGTTGTGTCCAGCATGGCCCAAACCGTACATCTCTTCCGCCTCTGCGCGCAATGATCCAGCCCTTCCTCGGACCTCTGTCATCTGGGACACATGAAGACCGTGCTCCTCGCACGCGGATCGCTCTGAGGCTCTAGAGTGCCCCTTAGCTCCCGCAGCGTCGATTTGGCATAAGCTCTACATGTTGCGGCCTTGGAAAGTCTTGTCAATACAATATAACACAGTTTTCGGGAACTGTTCAGGGACACCACTACTCTCCAAGAACCCGTGGCTCCCTAAATCCGGCACCCTAACCCCCCTGTCAAACCCTCATCCCAGAAGCCTTCTGGGGTTTGAGGGTTTAGGGTTTACACGGGTTTAGGGTTTAGGGTTTTCTTGGCGTAAAACACTGAAATCCTTCCCCGAAGGGTCCACACGACCCAATAATTAGGTACTCGAATTTAGGATCGTAGTTATGTAGGTTACTATTTTGGAGGGTATATGATAATTACTTACTTGGACCCCAACGGTTTGGGTTTAGGGCAGTAAGGGTGAATGGTCCAACACCCTAAACCCTAAAACCCCGAACCCTACACCCCAATAGTGCTGGGATTCCCTATATATTACTCTTGAGGATGGAGGCTAATGGGTTTCCAACTTTTGGGCTTCAAGTGTACTTGGACCCTCAAACCTAAACCCTAAAGCCTAAACCCTCAAACCTAAACCCTAAACCCTCAAACCTAAACCCTAAACTCGAAACCGAAAACCCTCAAATCCTTTTGAGACGAGGAGCCGGACCTTCACGAAGCCCTTGCCTCCACCTGACGGCTGAAGGGAGGATCCTTCTGACTTACTAATTAGAATAGGGTTTTTGGGCTATTATACTATAACTATAACCAAGGAATCACCAACATAGTATTGGCGATTATTTATGCCCCTGTATATGACCCCCCAACTACCCTTTATTATAGACAAGCACGGGATTAGGGCTTAGGGATTAGGCTGTGGGGATTGCAAGGAAGATAACACCGACTAAGGTTGCTGAAGATTTTGATTTCGTCGAACTCCTGATGCTCTCACCGTCCCGGAACCCCACCCCGTAAATACCTACATCCCACCAGAACATTATTAAACCCTGCATACGCAGGAACCCAGCTTCATTGTTTCCTCAGCTAAGAGCCCCCCGACTAAACAACAAATATCAAAACACACCCTCAACACACTGAGCCCCGGTGAGATATGACACCCGCATCGTTTGACTGGGTTCCCAGATAAGTTCTCAATCCTAGAAGCCATCATAACAGATGGAACCCTTTCCAAAGCTCAATTTGATTGACAGTGTACTAGGCTTTTAGTAATAACAAAACCCTAGAAACACAACAAGTTAAGATCCTAAGGTCCTAGGAAAGTCCCAAACAACACCATAAACTTTGCACAATACACCCGTAAATCCCTAGACTCTGGACCTAAACATCGTTTGCCTGGGTAGGTGTGAGTGCTGATCTCCGTGGCCACCAGGCGCCGATCTTTCCAGAAGATGGCAACACCTAGGCTGTAGGGCTTGGGTTTCTTCAGGGTTGAATGGTTTAGAGGTGGTTTTAGGGGTTCAATGGTTTACGATCCAGGGAGCTATCCGAGGTCACATGTCTGTCTTCTCGGATGTTGGGATTGTAAAAACAAGAACCCTAAACCCTAAACCCCCAAAACCCAAGACCCTAAACCCTCATAGGCTTCAGGGCTGTAAGAGCAGACGAGCTTTTTTGGGGTTTTGAGGGCCGGGTGAGATATGAGAGCTATGGTGAAACCTATTTTGGCCGAGAGTCAAGGCTTTTAGTGTGTCTGGTTCTTCGTAGGGGAATGGGGAAATGGATTATGGAGACAATTATCTGGAAGTATATAGAGACTACTATAGGGATCTATTCCCCCATTCCCGAGTAAGCACCAGACAGTCATTCTTGGTCTTAGGACTGCAAGGGCTGTTTCCGAATACCAGCAGCCAGAGTCGGTGTGGGGTTAGGGGCTCCAGAATGGCTCATCGAATCTGGTCTCTGAAGCAACCGAGGTGGAAAATGATGGTATTATAGGGGCCTTACTAATTATACATAGGGCTTCGGGGCCCATTATACTACAGTAATAAGGAACCCCCCAAAAAATAGTATACGTAATCATTCAAGCCGCTATAGTAGCGACTGCAGGAAACAAAATGACACTCGAGAGCCAAGGAGCCATAATGCTTCGAGCTATCCTTCTACACGTAGGGGCCGACAGCCACGGTTTAGGGTTTAGGGATTAGGGGGCTAACCTGCGTTAATTGTGGCAGGATTATGAAACTAAAAAGGTTTAAAGCTCACCCACTCACATACTAAGCTCAAAAAGAACTGGTAGTATGATTAGGCGACAGCCGAAGGACAAGCCGCTCGCCCTTGGAGTGCAACTGCATGCGCAGACAATTTACAGAAATGTCACTTGTTGATTGCTCGACCAATGCAGTATAGCATAGTCATAGCTTAGCACCCGCGGAAGCCAAAACAAAGCTGTACCAATGATCCAGACACCCATGTCGTCCAAACGCTGCGGGTCCTGCGGTACATTTCGGGAGGGGCACGGGAAATGTAGGCTTTTGGCGATTAGCCTAAAACCTAAAGCAAGTAACTCGAAACTAAAAACATCATACCCTTGATTTCTGACTCCTGAACTCAAAACCCCAGAAACCCAAAGTCGAAACCCGAAAATCTCAAAGCTCGGGGCTTCACGCTGGAAGCTTTGGGGATGGGCCATGTGGTGGAACCTCGCAGTGGAGAATACTTGTAATATCAGCACCTTCAAGGTTAAGATTGGGGGTCCCGTTTGGGCTGAAGTGCTTCATTACCGCGACTGGTGCTGAGACTAATACTAGCATTAGTGTCACTACTATTGCGGTAGTTACCATTACTTCAGGTACTAGTACCAACATTAGGAACATTAAGATCAGTTGCCAGTACCAGCTTTATCTACTTCGTCACTAGTTATAGTACCAAAACAAGACTAATACTAGTACCCATACTACTGCGAATGCAAATTCATGTAGTAAGCTATTTCCCTTACTAACATAAACTACCTCATCACTAGCTCATACAGTACCAATACAAGTACTAGTCCTAATACTAGTGCTGATACAAAGTACTATTGCCACGACCGTCCTTGAAGCCAGCCTCCTGCAGAAGGATCTGTGAAGTTCCGGGTGGCAACTGCTGATACCATCTTCCTCGGTAGAGTGTATGTCTTCCGGTTGACGGTAGAGCTTGGGGTTTAGAGTTGAGGGTTTAGGACTTGTGGCTTAGGGTTTGCGGCTTGAGTGTCCTAATTTCTGGCCGTTGGAGACCCGCGATACCGCAACCTACTTCAGGAAGCATACACCCAATGCCTAAACCCACTATGCAGGAAGTACCTCAAAGCCAACTCGGAAGCTCATGCCAAGATAAGAAGACATCCCTGAATAACATAAGCCCAGAAGCGCTACTGTACACCCTCAAACACACCACCCGAAGCCCTAAGCACCTGTTGTTCATGCCAGGTGGCTGGATAAGCCTCCCTTCTTGGCGTCCGTGATCTTCTGAGCCAAGCCAGGGTCCTTCACTCTTGTCACAAGGACCCTGGTTGGGGGAGGGGCAAGGGCCAGGGGGTGGGTGCCTTTGCACACCGAACAAGCACTTGATAAGGGCCCAGTAAGGCCTCGTTGTTCCTAATGTTGAGACCCCGCATAATGAGGTTGGGCTGCGACTACCTTCTGAACTCTGTGTTTTGAAGGCTTGAGGAACCCTTACTTCGGGGCTGAGTATCCTTGCCCCCAAAAAGTCAACCTTTTCAAACATGGTAGGTTTCTTCTAGACCCAAGAGTAGCCTAGGAATAAAAAGGATGCCCTTTTTGGTTTAAAGGGGCTTTTTGAGGGAACCTGAACCCCAAAAAAGGGAATAAGGGCCTACTCTAGGTCCTAGTCTTTCTATACACCCCAAAAGGCAAAAGCCCCCAAACTGAAAAAAAAAACCGACTCTCCCTTTCCCTACCCAAAACCCCCAAACTTTCAACCCTAAGCTCCTAAACCCCCAAACAGCTAAACCCTAAGGCCCCTTTTTGTAGTAGCACTTATAGAGCCCTTTAAAGGCAGCCCTTTTAAAGGAACCCGAGTCTGGCTCCCTTTAGGGTTTAGGGTTTGGGGTTTGGGGTTTAGGGTTTAGGGTTTAGGGTTTGGGGTTTGGGGTTTAGGGTTTAGGGTTATGTTCCCTTCACGGCCGCCTTTGACTTGGAGGCTGCTTCGAGGATCCTCTTCCCCAGGCCGGTGTTCCTTGGCTTTGATGTATTGAGGCCTTAGGGCCTTAGGGTTTAGGGGACCCTAAACCCCTCAACCCCTGAACCTTAACCCTGATATAAACCTTAAACCCTAAACCCCTAAACCCCTAAACCCTAACCCCTAAACCCTAAACCCTAAATCCTGAACCCCAATCCCTAAACCCCTAAACCCCTAAACCCTAAAACCCTAAAACCCTAAACCCCTAAACCTAAACCCGGAGGCCAAAGCGCTCGTAGTGTGAAGAGATCAATCCAAGGCAGCAACCAAGCACTCTTTTTTTATGAAATGGAAAGAGGCCAAAGCATGGTACTTCAGAACCTGGTACTACTACTACTACTACTACTACTACCCACCAAAGCAAAGGTAAGTTCAGAACCCAGGTTCTGCATGTAGACGTGCATGGAGATCGAGGCCAAGTGGGGCAGAAAGGCGAAGCCTGCCCGGCTTCTTCTGGTTTAGGGCTTTGGATGTCCTTCAGCAAGGAATATATTTCAACTTATATATGGGGCTTAGGGTTTAAGGAATATACGGTAGTTTCCGAAAAAAAGGGACCCTGATATAGTATTCCAAATAAGGTACCCCTAATTCTCGGAAACTCCTATGTAGGATTGGAGGGTTTACGGGTTTGGGGAACCTTCCAGTTTCGTGTGATTTGCTCGTTGGGCTTAGGGCCAGCTTGGGGTTTAGGTTTAGGGTTTAGGGAACCGTCGGATTTCTGGAGATTCTTAGGCTTTAGGGAACCTTCCGATTTCTGGAGATTCTTAGGGTTTAGGGAACCTTCCGATTACTGGTGATTTTTGGAAGGGCGGGTTGTGTGCTCAAGGGGTGGATGGGGGGGGAAGGGGCTGATGCAGGCTCTGGAAGGTGCTTTTGAGGATCTACTAGGTTTACATCAGGAGTGTTAAGGCATAAGCGGCATATGACTGCAAGGCTTTCGGGGTTGATTTGGAGGAATTAGCAGACTGGTACAAGAATTCATTGTTTGGGCTGGGGGAGGTGACATGCAGGGTTAGGGGTGTTGGGATTGCAGACAGGTCCGAGGGTTGCTGGTGCTGCTAGCAGCACTTCTACTTCCAGCTGGGTTGTTTGTCTACCGGTAGTTCTTGCTGAAGTGTTCGTCGTCGTGGTCGTCGTCGTCTTGACCATCGTGGTCGTCGCCCTCCTCCTCGTCCCGGTCGTTGTCGTCTGGGTAGTAGCAACAGTAGTGGTGCCTCCAAGTATTAGTAATCATAGCAACGCCAAGTTTAGCAATCCCCTCCGCAACTTCTCAGCCTAGGTTCCTTCCCCTGAAAATGAGGGTACCCCTTGCCCCTTTCGTTGTATTGATAAAGAGACCCTTAAACAACAAGAGCGACTGGTACTACTGGCGGGCCTGGAGCATGCGATGAACCGTAACCTTAAACCCGTCAACTCAGTATGGCATGAAAATCCCGACACTCAACGATGGCGAGAGATGCAGAGCACCTGTAATGAAGACAACACCAGGAATCCTACAGGAAAGTGCATGAACAAAAGGGTCGCGTGAAGCTCCAAACGGCACACTCCTGAACGCTAAACCATTAAACGGATGCCTAAACTCCCAAACGGCGCGAACACAATGTAAGGGCCTGAATGACCTTATTAATCAATGAAGCCTCCGACAAAAGAAACCACTACAAAATCCCGCACCTAATGGAAACCCTTTATACAAAACCTTTCAGCTATCCTCTAACCCTAACACGAGCCCCCACTTTACAGTATAGTACCATCCCCCTCCGACCTCGTTAAAGTTGTCCTGAGCCCCAGACACCCAACTTGTCAAGACATAACTAAAGCCTTGCGAAACCGGACGGCGCCCGAATACGCACGCCTTTTCTGACAGCCTTCACCTCTAATAACTCTTTTTTCGATCCTTTAAAGGAGCCTTCAAACTTAAAGGATCTTCTTTTGGTGCTTACTTGTCGAGTTCCCCAGGCGCACAACAGGTAAACCTTTGTTGGATGATATAATAGTAGTAGTAGTAGTAGTAGTAGTAGTAGTAGTAGTAGTAGTAGTAGTAGTAGTAGTAGTAGTAGTAGTAGCAGCAGTAGTAGGAGTAGTAGTAGTAGTAGCAGTAGTAGTAGTAGTAGTAGTAGTAGTAGTAGTCGTCGTAGTAGTAGTAGTAGTAGTAGTAGTCCTTTAAGGATCTATAAGTTTAGAAAAGGTTTTGGAACTTCAGGCCAGGGTAACTTTCGACCTGCTGCGGTACTATGATACCTACTGCTACTGCTACTACTACTACTACTACTACTATTACTACTACTACTACTACTACTACTACTACTACTACTACTACTACTACTACTACTACTACTACTACTACTACTACTACTACGAGTACGAGTACGAATACTAGTACTACTACTACTACTACTACTACTACTACTACTACTACTATGCTTACCGTTGCTAGTGCTACCGTTGCTACTGCGAAGCCTCACCTTACAGGAACCCCTTTAAGTCCCGAAGAGCCAGCAAGCTGTTCGAATAGGGCTTTAAAAGCTCCAATTCGGCCTTCTTACTTTACAGTCCCTCAAGCCTCCAAGTACTCCTTAAAGGAGCCGTCAAACTGAAAGGAACCAGAAAGGGCTTTTTGGTGCTTTTTAGTCCCAAACAGCACCACACCTGCCTCTGGAGTCCCACTCCTTCTGGAACTGGATGGCTTTCTCGGCCGTTGCATCGCTGAAGCCATCCAAGTGGGCCGGGCGATACCTGAGCCAAAAGCTTTGGAGGTTTGGGGTTTAGGGTTTTGGTTTTGGGCTCTGGAGTTGGGTTTTGGGTTTTGGTTTTGGGCTCTGGAGTTGGGTTTTGGGTTTTGGTTTTGGGCTCTGGATTTCGGTTTTGGGCGTTGGTTTTTGGTCTCTCAGGTTTATGCTACTATATTTCGCCTTGCAGGTCAAGGCTTCAGGGTTCCGCGAACCACCGAGCTACTTCGCTCACGTTGCCGGTGCGTCAAGAAGGAACATGGCAGGCTTGTTGCTGCCACAGCTCCTTTTACAAAAACTGTCTTAGCTTCCTCTGTCTGATGCATCATCTCAGGGTTTGCCTGCACCACGCTCTGTTCCCTCCCCAGCTCAGCTATAGATGGAGCACACCTTGAACTCTGCATTCCGATCTGCAGAAGGAGGCCACTTCAGATGGGCGTCTGCAAAATGCCATGGATGTTGAAGAAAATGTCCGAGAGCTCACCTTCCAGGACTTCCAGCTTGAACGACTTCACCAGACCCGGAGGTCTCTTGCAAGACAGGACAATGTCATAACTGATCTCCTTCTCGTGCGACTCGTAGGCGAGGTGCCAGGTCGCACCGTCTTCGGAGCACCAGATCCGGAAGGATGCGGTCGAGCTGTTTATCTGGTCGGTATCTCCAAAGGAAAAGCCCTGAAGATGAACCCAGGAATCGGGAAGCAGCCACTGCACCCACCCTTTTCCGATGGTAAAGCGCTCGAAGTTGTTGGCCGTGCTTTCGAGCTCTTCCATGGTGTAAGCTTCTCCCTGCCCAGGTCCCAGGATCACTACCAAGCACCCACAAAGACGCCCTTGTTCCCGGCGTCTTCGTAGCGCTCCCAGAGTTTGTAAAACACGTCTTTCGTGTGCTCACTCTCTGTGTCGACGTGGATCATCGATTCCAGGGAGCCGCCTGTATCGGTGCCCCAGCGTCGGAGAATCTTTCTGAGAGCATGATTCTGTATGCACAGCAGGCCTGAGCCCAGGATCTCCTCCAAGAGCTCTGCTCGGAGATTCGGACGCTTTGTCAAGGCCTCTTTAGGCTTTGTGAAGATGAGGTCGAGCGCCTCTCTTCGCATCTCAACTGCATGCAAGCGGTCTGCTAAAGCGAAGACTTTGCAGGCTTCTTCAGGTTTCAGCGTCTTCCGCACAAGACGAAAGCACAAAGGAGGCAACGCCTGAACCTGGTACTTGTCTGCTAGCGCAGCCACCTCCACCAGAACTGCGACCGAGCCCCCGACACGCCCAGAATACAAGAAGCGCAGGAAGATCTCGACAGCACCGGCCGAGAAGTCTTGGATGACTACCTGCGACTGCTGTGACTCGGCATAGTTGTCCGATCCCAGCATCTTCTCAAAGACGGGGGACCACCGGGCAAGCACAAAAGACCACACCTTGAACTCCGTGCACTTCACACTCGCCTCAATCTCATTTGAACACTCGAACATATCCTCCGTGCCCTCTTCTACAACGACCGTGAAGTTGCCGTCCTTGCCGAAACCTGCCGCCAAAACACCGGAAAGAGAAGCCAGATCCTCTGCCGTCTCAGCCATGATTCAAGAAGCTGGGCTGCTGTAGCTAGAGAATCTTGAGCTCGGGAACCGCGCAACGAAACATGTTCAACATCATACTAGACTACAAGACACTACTCTACAATGCAATACGATACAATACAATACAACCCAACCTAACGTAATGCAACACAATACAATACTGTACCATACTCTACTTTATTACTTTACCATACTATAGCAGACTATACTCTACTACACTACAAGTGGTTGCCTGTCATGTGGACATGTGTCGTATCGTCAAACGATTTATCGGAACGCCTCCGAACCTAGGATCAAGAACAAGCGCAGCGAAAGATACACAAGCAAACGCGATGCCCGAACATGCACTTGTCCAATGCCTCTCAGCGGAGGCTTGCTACGAATCCGTAAGGACCCGTTTGTCTAAGTACATTGGCATGTTTTGGGCCGTGTTCGGGCGGGCGGTCTCGGGTTTAAAGGCGGATGCTGCCTCTGTGGACCAGAGCTTAGAATCTAGGGACCTATATTTGGGAGTTACAGGTTTGGATTTGGTTCTAGGGTTTGGGGTTTAAGGACGTTGAAGGTATAGGCTATATCTGAGTTCTCCTGTGTTCTGTAACTTTGCTCTTTCGGGTGATAAGGCTGTCGCCAAAGCCAAATCGCCTTTCCAAAAAGTCTTGCAAGCCATAACGAACCCCCGACTTGCCACAAAAGCTTTCGGCGAGCTCTCAAGATCATGGGATGCAGGCTTTCTTTTGCCCTGACCTGAGAACAATCAAAAGATGCACTCACCGATGCTCCAGAAGGTGCCCATCATGTGAGCACCTAGCTGTACGATAAGCGCCAAATCCCCAAATGCACCCTGTCATTAACACCTATCAACAACTAAAACATCCTATACACCGATTGAACCCTACAGAAATTCAGAACCCTATGGAACCCCTTAAGCACAAGATCAGATCACACCAGATTTGAGGCGAGATGCTTGGTGTGCGATTCTGCGCTGCTCGGCAGCTGTGAAACGTAACCTCCGGGCATAATCACACAAATACGAGGGTTGTACTGCATCAAACGTTTCCATACAACGCCCAGCAATAAGCTGCTTTAGTATTTTCGTAAGGGTCCAAGTACCTAATCATCATACATATATTCTCCTAAACGTTAAGCTGCATAACTACTATCCTAGACCCGAGTACCTGGTTATTGGGTCCTTTGGACCCTTAGGGTTACATAGAACTGGAGGCTCCTTTCAAGAAGCTTTTTGTGGGTTCTGCAACGGTTGTATGGACTCCGCGGGGGTATTCTGATAACTCAGACTCTAGTATTGCTGCTATCAGGCTCTGCTTCAGGACTGAAGTTTTTCAGTTGCCCTACCTGGGGTCCTGCGTACAAAACGCGCTTTCCTTCATCTGGTGTTGATAACCAGAGCGCCCCCCCACGACCACTTCTTTATCTGCATATGGCTTAAATGGTACAAAGCTTGCTACTTTCTGTCACGGTGTTGATGTTGCTGAATTGATAGGGGCAGTTGAACGGCAGCGGTGTGGTCTGGGCGGCCGAGTGTCCAAGCTCGCGCAAGGACACCACAAAGTCATCGTAGTGGTCCACTTCCTGAGCAAGGGCTGAGGGTTCAACCCCTGTCTGAAAAATCCTTCAAGGGCTCTTTTAGGGGATCCTTTAAAGGATCCGTTAAAAGATCCCGATAAAGAGGCCTTAAGGAAATCGGCGTTTTGGAGCTTGAGACAAGTTGAGGCTGTCATGTACACACTAAACTAAGATCCCAAACACCAAATCCCTAAGCCCTAGGTTCGGATGGGCTTCGGGGGCTGTTAGGGTTTCTGGATTTTGTGGCGTAGAGCTTTAGTGCTTGGGCGCAACCCTATGTAAGTCCTAAACGCGTCAACCCAATATCCTTCTTGGGGCCCAGTGGCGGTAAAGACGAGGATATCCGGTGAGAAACATTCCAGGAAGCACATCATCTGATATAATCGTGCCTGCAAGGCCGGACAGGACGGTTTAGGGCTTTGGGCTTTAGCGTTTAGGGTTTCGACACATAGGGCTCTGGCGTTTAGGTCACGGGTTTGGTTCGGGTTTAGAGGGCTGGAGATTCAGGGTGCATTGGCGGTTCAAAACACTGCTTTCGCTGGCGGGGCTTTGGGGTTCCCAGTCAATATGTGTGTATGCAGCAAATTCTTTGGGTTTCAAGGGGTATTTACATTTTACGATACGGGTACATGGACCTGTAGGAGGTTATGCTTGGGCTCGGGGTCTAAGTGTGACAATGTTGGGTGTCACAAACGACATTTTTTGGAACTGCACCTTCAAAGTTAAGAGCCCTCCAAATCCGTGCAAAACAGCGTTAGAATAATATAGGGGCCTTAATAATTACCTATACTAGTTTGGGAGGTCCTTATAAGCCTTATAATAAGTCTAATATAACGGGCCCAAAACCCCACTCTAATTATTCATGCACCTATATTACTTACAAGCCCCCAGGACTCGGAACCCAAAACATCAAAAGTCTGTCAAACTGGAAGCTCTCAACACCAAGCCTCAAATGTCGACCTGCAAGAATAGGGTTTTGGGGCCCATTGTACGATAAGAAAAAATAAGGAAATCACCAATAAGAGTGTAGGTAATCATTTAGGCCTCGGTATTGCAGGAATAACGGGTTTAACAGAGTGGCAGAGCCTCCCTTTGAATTGTGGTTGAATGCTTGATGAGTCCGCTGGTTACCAGCACAGTACGGCTTTTGTCAGACAATGGAAATTACTGGGTTTGTCATAACAGTATCACGGCCCTGCGGATTCGCCACTTGAGCAGGCACAAAGCCTTTAAACCCTTACAATAGCGGGCCATTAACCCGTGTAAGATGCATGTACGAACCCAAATAAACCCTACACCCAGTACTGCTTCTTACTTGTTAGACCCCTATATGTATTAGTGTTTTGAACCCTACACCCATAAACATCTAGTCAAAAGCCCGACTGTACAACTTCTCCTGATCTCCGCACCTTCCAGTCAACGGTGGCGTGGGTGTTCGCCTGTGTTTTTGCGATCCAGTTGCGGTTTCGAACTCTTGCTTTGGGCAAGGAAGGGATTTGGGGGGTTTGGGTTTGGGTTCCGAGGAGCTGCAATCCAGTATTGATTCGGGTCTTCGGGTTCAACAGGGTATGTTACCAGGGTTCAATATACTTCGGTTTTTCAAGCCTTTTCTTTTCAAGGTCACAGGAACTTCAACATAGGCTTTCGGATTTCATTTCCAAGGGTTGAGGTACAGCAGTTCCACATTGAGACCATGTCTACCTCACGCCATAAAGGGCCCTAAGTACCTATAATGAAAATAGACTGCTACTTGTACACGCTCATAGCGTTCCGCGGAAAATCTGCGGCCACAAGTCCTCAAACTGCGCGATGTAAGGATCCACTAGGCTTTTTAAGGTTTAGGATCTAGGATTCGGGTTTACTCTTCGAAGGAGCTTCGGATCGTCATTCCTAGAAGTTAAAACATCATGGCTAATGTAGCATCCTGAATAAGTGCCAACATTCATCCCTCGTTCCCTAGCATACGTATACTGGAAGATACCCCTAATTATTATGGCCCCTTTGCAACAGACCCTTTCTCTGTCTCTATATATACATATGTATACACAGGCCCAAATATGATAGAAAGAAGCCTCCTCTACCCATTTGAAGAGCCTTTTGAAGCATTACCAAAGCGACAGCCCCAACCCCAGCCTTGGACTCAGGAAGGTTGTACTTCTCCTGGCACTGTTGCAACTTCTCCTTGGTTCTCCCAGGAACACTGCAAAAGCCGTGGCTAACGTTCGTTACATGCAAAGCAAAGGACCCCACCACTAAAGGGGCAAGATGGCTGGAAAAGAAGTCCACCTGTTCTTCCGTAAGGATCATGACACCATGAAGCGAGCAAAATGGTAGCACAGGGCGACCTAGAACCCCGGAAGCCCCAACCCTACAAGCACAACTCACGAGAGCCCGCAAAAGAATTCCTTTAATGAGCCCCCCCCCCCCCCCCCCCCCCCCCCCCCCCCCCCCCCCCCCCCCCCCCCCAAAAGAGTGGTACTGTTGGGGCACCCAGCGGCAACATTGCCCTTGGCGTCCAGCATGTCTGCAAGCAGCTGGCCAAAAGGCACCGGACCTCCATCCTTGGTCCTTGGTCAGGGTCCGTGTGAAGGAGCTCCACTTAACTTGCCACAATAAGGAAGCCATATTGTTTACCATCCCCATAATGATAACTTGACAAGAACCCAGTAGACCTCCAGTTCATCGGACCCCCAAAATAGCCTCAAGGTGTGATGCAGTGCAGAACGTTGGCTTGTATTACTGAGCCTAACCAGCAGTTACCAGTGTGGGCTTGGAAAAGGGTATCTTCAAAAAGACACAAAGAAGCCCAAAGGGTTGAAAAGCTCCGTTGAGCCTGGAGTCTCAAACACATCAGGAACCTTGATTGAAGCTTACAAGCTCCAAAGAACGAAAGCTTACGACCTGCAGACAAGCCGAAGAAGCTGCAAGCTGCCCTCAACCCTCCGACAAAGTCCACAACTGCCCGACCGTTAACCCCTACCTTAACCTACCAAACCCTACTTTTTGTAGGCTCTTAACATAAACCCTAATATGGAACTTATACGGATCCTACCAAAAAAGTATGTTTTTGGTAGGTTAAGGTAAACCCCAAGTTTAGGGTTCAGCAAGGAACCCTAACCTCAACTCTAGCCCTAAACCTAAAACCACCGCTTCCAGGCGTCGGAACTGCGCCTTTGCCAGCAGGCCAGTCAGCTAGGACGGGCCGAACCAGGAAACCTTGCTGAGTTCCGCAAAGGTCCCCCTCTAGGGCGGTTAAGAAAGCTGAGGGCTTTCAGGGTTTGGGTTTGTAGGGGTATACTAGCCAGTGGTTTTGGGGGGTCCCTTGGCTCTTTAGCTCCGTATTTCATAGGGATTATCATCATCCCTGGCTCCTTAGCTCCTCCAATATCAATAGTAAGTATAGAATATAGGGTTTGGGGTTTAAGGTTTTAGGGTTTCAGGGTGAGGGTTTCTAGGAGTTATACATTTCAAAAGGTGTGCGGGGTTCGTGCGGATTGCTTAGGGTTGCTTGAGGGATCAGGAATTCAGTCAGAACGTTGCGGCCTGCGTACTTACTAAAGCACTTGAACCTCTTGGCTTCAAGCTGGTTTACCCCAAATCCAAATCCTTCCGGGCTAACCTCTCAAGTTACAGTAGGTTTTTCCGAACCCAAAGGTTAAAGGCTGCTTCCACAGCTACGCGGCTCACATTCCTGAAACCGCTATGGCCGACAATGCAAAAACAAGGTTCCTACTTGGAGGGGCAGGGGACTTAGTAAGTAGGTTATAACTAGAGTTATAAGTACCATAAATGGAGTTATAACCCCAATTATAGCCCTACTTATAAACGACTTACTAAGTCCCCTGCCCCTTCAAGTAGTGGGGTTCCTTGAGACGCCTACAAGGGTTCCAGTACAGGGTACTGTTGCGGGGTTTTGGAGTTTATTGTAGACCCCTGATTCATGTCCTTTCAAAGGAATCGAATAGGACGAATCTTCATATTTAGTGCCTTAAGAATCATTAATCAAGGGTCTGAACTATGTATGAATGATCCCCTGCCGTAGGAAGAGTGTTCGTCAGCCAAGGGGTCTGCACTACCTAATCCGCCGCCGTAGATTTCCCTGTGCCTGCTGCTCAATTTCATGAAAAGACCCCAAACCCAAACGCAGGAATGGGAACAAAAACCAAGCCTGTATATCCCAAAACCCATAAATACACCTTATACGACCCCTTAAACGAGAAGCAGTACAAAGCTGAGGTAAGAAGGATAGAGCTTAGGGTTTCGAGTTTAGGGGCCCTGAACCCTAAACCCTAAAGCCCTGAACCCTAAACCCTAAAGCCCTGAACCCTAAACCCTAAAGCCCTGAACCCTAAACCCCTAATCCCTTGGGGTTTAGGGATCCGGTGCTACTGAACAAGAATGGGTTGGCCTTTAAACACCCTGAAAAATATTTATATAGAGGGCGCCTTATAAACCCAAATAAGGAAAATACAAAATGTCCCAAAATCCAACCTAGAAGGTACCAGGAAGCCATCGTCGGACATCGAGTCCGCGAGAATGTTGTACACGGCAACCCTAAGGCAGCCTCAGGGGTTTAGGAGGGTTGAGGGTTTAGGGGTTTAGGGTTTTGGGGTTGCAGGCTTTAGGGTTTAGGGGTTTAGGGTTTAGCGGTTCTATCAGGGTTTAGGGGTTTTATAGGGTTTAGGGGGTTTGATAGGGCTGAGGTGTTGAGGGGCTTAGGGTCTAAGGCATGGGGGGGGATCTTTTTCTTTGTGAGGATGCCTGGTAACCTAGGAATAAAAGGGCTCCCTTTTTAGTATTGGGTACCTTTGTAAGTAATCTAGGACTACAAAAAGGAATAAGGGTACTACTGGGCATCCTAGTTTGTTAAGAACTGGCTTGGGCACCGGCTTTGGGGGGATCTTTGGTCCTGTTCATACGGGTATAGTAGAAGGCCCAAAGCTGGAAACCTCATAGCCTCAATCCTTAAGAGTAAGGTATAAGGAATCCCAGCACTATTTGGCCTTAATCCGGGATCCAACTTTATGGGGTTTACTGTAGTGTTTCTTGCATCTTGATTGGATGTCAGGTGCATGTCGCAGACTTCTTGAAAGATTAAGACGGCATCAGCGGTCCAGGTTTAGGGCTAGGGGGTGAGGGAACTAGGTTTGTGGGTAATGTAGGGTTTTTGCAGTTCAGTGCTCAAAGGTTGCACCTCTTGCACAACGCCACGAAACGCCGGAAGCAAAAGTTTGGGCTTCAAGGGGTTCAGGAATGTCGATACACTATCCCTTGCGGACAGTTAGAATCATAGTTAAAATCCCTGAACCTAAACCCTAAACCCTGATCCCTACACCCCATTTCAACCCTAATTTCAAAACCACGTAATAAAAACCCTTAAGAGACCCGTTTTCTGCCTTCGGGAGCGCGCTTTTGCGGTTCCCACATGGACTTGATCACCTCCTCCTTGTAGTTGAGGGTTTAAGGTTTGTAGGGGTTTGGGGTCTAGGGCGTTAGGGGCTTGTGGGGTTATATGGGTTGTGTAGGGGGTTCGGGATAGGTCCTTGTTGAAGTTTAGAGTTTAGGGTTCAAGGTTTATAGGGCGGTTCGGGATAGGGTCTCGGGGTTATCGTCACATTGGGGCCTAACTGTTCCGCGAGCGTTTCTATGTATAAAGTGTGATAGGGTGAGGGGCTTTAGGTTTTTGGGGCATTAGGGTTCCAAAGATTGAGGCTCACGGCAGCATGGGTGCGCTAATCATGATGGACAACTCACCTGCAACACTCACAATAAGTTAAGGATTGTATGTGGTACCGGGTTGAAGATCATGCCAAAACACGACCACCTAGCGTATTTAATTGATACTGCTGCACTCTCGTCCATCGACTGCATGTAATACAAGACAGGGAAAGCCCCAAACCCTGTATGTGGGTGGTTGTCAAAATTATGGTCCCTTTTTGGGTCCCTATTATAATACAGCACCTAGGACCTAGTATTTACGGTATTCAAAAGGAACCCTAATTTTGACAACCACCCATATGTATATCCTCCCAAGCAAGAGCTCCTTGGAGACCTTGAGGGCCTCCAGTCGGTCCCTCCGCCGCTGTTCGAAGGAAGCCATGGCTCGAATTCGCGAAGTCGGACTTCCTAAGTCCTCTAGCTTTGGGGCTTTTATGACTAGAGAAGGCTCCTTAGGGCACCCATGAGATGAGGTATCCTAAGTCTTTTAGCTCTGGGGGTTTTAAAATTAGAGCAGGGCTCCTTAAAATCAACATGGGCTTTGGGTGCAGGGTGTGCCTTAACACTCATACCTAGGGCTTTAATATTCTGTTAGTTAGGCTTTTAGGCATCGGTTTTGGTACTTTGTCTTATGTTTTGGGGCCGAGGGTTGGGAGTGCAGGCCTTGTCAGGCTTTATGGCTCATGTGATCAACTCGATTCTCGGAAGGCTTCATTTACGCCTGGATCTTGAACTTTATGCAGGATATGATCTGCAGGTGCTGTGGCATTCAAAGATTAATTTTTAGGTTCTGTAAGCTTCGAGGCTCTTTCTTCGGATCCCAAGAAGTGTAGAGTCTACTTGCAGGGGCAGGCTACTTAGTAAGTCATTTATAAGTAGGGTTATAATTTGGGGTAGCTCCATTTAGGGTACATAAAACTCTATTTATCACCTACTTACCAAGGCCCCTGCCCCTCCAAGTAGGGTTTCTATATTCGGAATATTTGCTACTCTGATTTGGGGAAGTATCCCCCGCAACAGCACCTCGGACCCTTTGGACACATGCGGCTTGAGCACGCCTCAGCCTCGGAGATGCCAGAGAGTTGTTGCCCATCACACTGGACCAGGTCTGGGTTGCCAGGTGATTGAAGGGAGTTTGGGGGCTTTAGTTAGAGTTTAGGGGTTAGGGTTTAGGGATTCGGGGTTTGAACAGCAAGTCCTTACTTACGCGCCTTGAGAACCCTAGCCCCTTCAGAGTCTAATCTCCACTTAGGGGTCTTCGGGTTTCAAGCTGCAAGTGTCACCCTTTATCACGACAGCCGGTTCTGCATCGGAATCTGCTTTTAGGGTCTAGGGCCTAGGGGGTTAAGGGCTTTGGGATAGGGTGTACGGGTTTGGAAATTACATTGGGGTTAGGGCTTAGTCGTCCTGAGTTCCCCTCACCTTCGAATAAGCAATTCTGAATCATAAGTCAGACAACATACATATGCAGATATTCAAACTGGCGCAACAAACTTCAACGGTCACCTATGCAGCTACTTGAGTTTAGCTGCGAAGACTCTAGATTAGTGCTTTGCGGTTTATGGGGGCATATGGGTGGCCTGAAAAATCAGGATTAAATTTCGCGGTGAATCAATAGTAATGATTCTGTTCTGGAGTATTACGGGTGGAACGATTGAACTTATGTAGACCTCGATCTTCGGCCAAGCATCGCCCTGAATGTTCAAGGCCTCATGTTAGCAGCGTTAAACCCAGAGCACTACGTAAACCCCAAAACCCTAGATCCATAAACCCTGAACTCATTGAGGATCGTTTCAAAGATATAGAACTCTCAGAGTAGTCCTTGTAGAACCCTTTAAAGGAGCCCTTTCAAGAAACCCTGCTCAAATTAATAAAGCCCCTATATGGGGTTTTCGGACCCGAATATAGTACCTTAAAGTAGTAGGATCCTTATTATAAGGACCCCCCAAAAAGGTAACTCCTATATCACAGTCCCCACGGCAGTGCGTTTTTTGCCCTTGACTGGCGCCGCCGTGGCACAGCGCTTTCAGAGCATCGAGTCCAAAGCTCCTCCAGAGCTATGTAAGTTTGGACTTTTTTTAAATCACAATTTTTCCGACTGCAAAGAAAATTCTCCTGTTGGAGGTTTGGAATTTACGGCTCAGGGCTTAGGGTTATGAAAGTTTGTGTTTTGGCAGGGCTTTGTAAGGATTTTGAAGGGCTTTCTCAGGCTTTAACAGGGCCTTCATACCGTGAATTCCGGCTCTGTGCAGTTTCAGAATAAGGGGTTTGTACGGTTTTGGAAAGGTTCTTAAGCGGGTTCTCTCAGGGTTTTCGGGCTTGGGGTGTTTAGTGCTGTGGCGCTTAGCTGTACATGGGGTACGGCCCCCACTCAGTAATAGTTGGAAAATATTCATAATACAAATATATTAGGAGGTTAATAATAGCCCTATTATAGACTCTTACTGTATGGGGACCGTACCTATATTCTAGCCATGATTCATAGGAGGCCAAAAGGTGTTTAGTAGGGATTAGGGTTCCCATAATAGGGTTCATATTGAGGAATCCCTACCCCAAGAATCTTAAACCTAAGGTGTACAAGGTCTTTCGATTGGTTTTTGGGTTGTTGATAGGGGCTCAGAGGTCGAAAGTGGGGTTGTTTCAAGGTTACTTGGAGGCTCATGGGACTTAGTAAGGGTTCTTAAAGGGCTCCTTAAAGGGATCTATAGGGTTCCTTGAAGGATCTATAGGGTTTAGGGTTTGGGCCATTTTTTGGAGGATCATGGGACTTAGTAAGTCCCATGATCCTTCAAGTAGGGTTTCGGGCTACAGTTGATTCTTGCTTTGGCACAACCCCTGATTCGCAGATACCACGGCAAAGACTGGCAAACTGTTCCTGCTATGGCGGTAATGACTCTGGTGATTGTCACACTTAGCATATGCATGTATGTGTTTACATACATACACACATACACATATATATACACATATATATATATATGTGTATTTATATATATATATATATGTATATATATATATATATATATATTTATGTACTGCATACACGTGCGGCGATCATGCAGGTGCACTCTGAGCTTCTGGCTGACTATAGGGGGCCCACTCCACGAACAGCACATACCCAAGGGACTTAAGGACCCGTAACTTAGACTCAGACTGTTGATTAATGATCCCACGCCCCTATAGGGACCAGTAGCTTGTACTCAAACCCTTGATAATCAATCATCCCACTCCCCTTCATAGGGACCATATGGTAGGATTGTAATAGGGATCCAACCAAATATGCGGGCCCTGACAGAAAGGGTGGCAGGACTCATGGGTGTAGACTATGGTAGACTTGGCCCAAGCAAATCCTGCAAGTATAAGGATTTCAATAATTACGACTCCTTTAAGGCTTGCTTAACAGTTCTCAGATAAAGGGACCTTAACAACAATTCTAGTAGGGTGGCGGGGCATATCGGGACATAGAAAAAGTAACGAGCTCTACACAAGGAGCATTCCTGGTATGTACCGAGGCTTCTAGAATAAGCTGCCGACGACATCTTGGACCCTCTGGGACACAGTTGGGATACGGCATGCCACGTGGGTAGTTGTCAACATTAGGGTCCCTTTTTTGGGTTCCCTAAATATTAGGTGCCGTATTAAGAATGGGACCCCAAAAGGGCCCGTAAGTTTGACAACCACCCACATAGCCTTCTTCTCAAGACGCGTGTCTAAGGACGTCCCACCCGAAACTTCCACCATGAAACCTTCAAGGAACCCTTTCCTCCATATGGGAGTTTCCGAAAATTAGGGGTACCTTACAATAAGGATCCTACTATCTAGGGTACTATATTTGGGCCCCCGTTTTTCGGAAACTCCCATATGTGACAAGCTACATCATGGCACTTAGAACCCCTTCTAAATTACTGTATGGGTGCGTAAGCCGAACACGTTGAAGGTTACCAACTCAGCTAAACTTGGTAAGCAAAAACTAGGATAAGGATTTTCCACATCAACCCCCTCATAATCAAACCCAATTTGGTAAGATATCCCTGCAAAATTCTTATGCTGATGTCCTGTTTGGGCCCCTGACAATTACTTTGCGGATATTTGGGTGGCTTTCTGAATTCTGGGAAGAGGACATAAGGTAGGGGCCTTATGAATTAGAGTGGGGTTTTGGGGACAAATTATACAATAGCTATAATAAGGAACCCCCACAATAATGTAGGTAATTATTTAGGCCACTGCAGTACTCTTTCTCTGCCTTCGGAGCTACCCACAGACTTCCGCCAGCTCGGCCTTGACTTGCCGCAGCACATCATGATGAAAGAAGAGAGCAGGATTTAGGGCCCAGGGTTTAGGGTTTGAGCTTGCAGCAAGCACCCCCCGCACAGCCATCGGGTAGCGGCAGGACCGTTATGCAAGTCGCTGTGAGAAAACCCTCATATCCACGATCCTGGACCTTGTCCTCACGTGCGGCATGCCACATCCAGCATTGTGGTGCAACCGTAGTTGATGACATCGGCATCCATCTTGGTGTTGTGCCAGTGTCTGAACAGCTGATTGGCTAGCGGCTAGCTGCTACTGCCGGCTCCTGCACATCCACATCCGTGCTCATCGTAGCTGACGAAATTGGAATCCACCTCCCCTTTGCACATGCTGTGTGAATATCTGTTCATGACTAGCTGCCACTGCTCACCGTACAGCTGGCAACATCCGTATGTGCCTTAGTTTTGCGCATGCTGCCAAGCAGATGCACTGCCATCTGCCACTGCCCACCTTTCTCACAAGCGCTGATGGTGGCACTGTAACTGATGGCATCGGCATCCACTTTGGCTTTACGCATGCTGTCGAACAGATGCACCGCCAGTTGCCACTGTCCAATCTTCTCACAAGCACTGATAGTGGAACTGTAGCTTATCACAGTCTTATCCACCTTGGCTTTGCGCATGTTGTCGAATAGATGCACGGCAAGCTGCCACTGCCCACCCTTCTCACAAGCACTGATAGTGGCGTTGTAGCTGACGACATCGGCATGTATGTTGGCATTGTGTGCGCTCTCGAACAGGTGCACCGCCAGCTGCCACTGTGCACCCTTTTCACAAGCGCTGATGGTGGCGTTGTAGCTGATAACGTCGGCATCCACCTGGGCTTTGCGCATGCCGTCGAACAGCTGCATTGCAAGCTGCCACTGCCCACCTTTCTCGCACGCGCTGATAGTGGCGCTGTAGCTGATGACATCGGCATGTATCGTGGCTCTGCGCATGCTATCGAACAGCTGCATGGCTATCTGCCACTGCCCACCCTTTTCACAAGCACTGATGGTGGAATTGTAGCTGAAAACATTGGCGTCCACTTTGGCCGTGCTCATGCTGCTGAACAGATGCACGGCAAGCTGCCAGGTTTTCGCCTTTGCACAGGCACTGATACCCGCAGTGAATTCTTTTAAACCCACCTTTGCACCCCCCTTCTTGAGCGTCTCTGAAAACAATATGCCAACCAGGTCGAATCGCTTTTGAGCCTTGAGCTCCTGCATCGTGCAGCGGACAGTCTTGTGATCTAGTCGATGTTGGGAGAGAGCCAGTTGCACACCTTCCAGCGAGTCTTTTGGCTGCAGCTGCAGGAGTTGTTCGATGACGTCGCTTGGCGGAGCAATCCGTGCCCTCTTCGCGCGCATTGTCGTAGATACAGACCGGGTGCACATAGTTCTCTCAACGTATTCCCAACAAGTCCGGATACCTGTATGGCAGGAAACTGTCCTAGGGCCGTACACCATTACCCAGAGATCCCAATACCCCTTGACTAAGGATTATACCTTAAAGTATAGGCGGCTCAACAGTATGATTTAAGGTAGTATTCCCTAATTAAGGGATATGTATTGGGATCTCAAGGTACATACCTTCAGAAAAAGAAGCCATGACTCCAAGAGCTCGTATAGCTTTGATTGGCGCACGGCGGGAATTGCTTGAAATGCGGGTCGTCCTGAATGCGCATGCAATCTGCACGATTCCCCTAGATTTAGACCCTAAACCCCGAACCCCCTAACCCTAAACCCCTACACCCCTACACCCCCATACCAAACCTTAAACCCTAACCGCAAAACCCTAACCCTAAAATACCTAAACCCTAAACCGAACCCTAAACCCACATCCTCAAATACCTAAACTCTAAACAACCCTCTCTGCCATGTCAAAAAGACAGCGTTGCGATGCCGCACCCATTGTCGAGCCTAGATCGCATACGATGCTGCAGTTTATCCCTAAAAACCCCGACAAACCCCTAAACCCAAAATCCCTAAACCCGAACCCTAAACCTTAAAACCCCTCACAGAAATCCCTAAACCCTAACCCAAAAACCCCAAACCAAAAATGCCTAAACCCTAACCCTAAAACCCCTAGAACCACCAAACTCACGGTTTAGGGTTTAGGGTTCAAACCAGAAATCCCTAAACCTTAAACCCTAACCCTAAAACCCCGAAAAAACCCAAACCCTAACCCCAAACTCGAAACGCCTAAACCCTGACCCTAAAGCCTAACCCCAAAATGCAAAAAACAAGTACCCCCAAATCCTGAACCCCAAAAAACCCCTAGAAGCCCCATAGAAACCCCAAAATCCCCTCCAGGCTCCTGGTGCTGAGCTGGTGAAGAGGCCAGCTTCGCTGGGAAACTTCGCCTGCCGATCGACTTAGGAGATTCTGATATACCTTAGAAGGGGCCCCCATACAGTAAGAGTCTATAATAGGGCTACTAGTAAGGTCCTACTATATCTATATTATGAAAATTTCAGTATTCAACTATTACTGCCTTACCCTTTAGTGACCTACCTTTTTAGGGACTTATATTAGGGGGGCCCTAAAAAGGTAGGTTCCGTAGAATCCATGTAGGGTTTAAGGTCTAGAGTTTACATATTGTAGTATATATACTAGGATGCAGTAACCTAGGAACAAAAAGGGCTCCCTTTTTGGGATTGGGTACCTTCATAAGGAACCGAGGACTACAAAAAGGGAATAAGGGTACTACTGGGCATTCTAGGGTTTATAATTCCTCAAAGGGCTCCTTCAAGGGACTTTATGAGTTTAAGGCTCTTTTCAGGCTTTACGGGTTTAGAGCTTTAGGATTCTTTAGGCTTCGAGTTCCATTAAGGGAGCTTTATGAGGATTCCTTTTAGGGCTCCTGTCAAGCTGTTGGGTTGACCCTACTTAGTACACCCAAAAAAAACCGTCGGTTCAAGGCTCCTTATCATGGCTTCCTCACAGAAGTCCTTGAAATGGCAGGCGTCTTGAAGCTTAGGGTAAGGTTGAGGTTTTCTGGATTCAGGATTGAGCATTTCGGGTCTGGGGCTTTGGTTTGTCTTGAGGGCTCTTCGTTGATCCAGGCCTCTACATTGCTCGAAACTTTGGGCGCCCCGCCACAAAAAGTCACAACTAGATTACCATGCCCGGCTGCGTATGAGGTGCCCTCAACTCAAGCAATCCAGATACGTTCACGCCTTCTTTGTACTGCAAGCATTATAGGCTGGTAGCCCTCATAGAACCCTTTAGAAGGTGCTCTTTAAAGGAACCCTATTCAAATCATTAAGGCCCCTATAGTACTCCTGAGAGGCTCACGCAGTTTTGGATTTGGGGGCTGAAGGCTGCAGGAAACACGGCTGTTCGATCCCATAAAACCTGAATCCCAAACCAAACGTTCCTACAATCTGCAGGGCTCCATCATGGCACTTAGACTCAGACCCCTTTTAGGGTTTCGCGGGTCAACTATGAAGACCCATTAATCCAAGGGTAAAAGGAGGGACCCTTAATAAGGACCCCTAGGTATATGTATGTATATATATATATATATAGGTACATATATATTTATATACCTACCCTTAATATAGCTGTTATATACCCATTATATAGCCCATTATAGGGTAGGGGTCCCCATTAAGGGTCCCTCCTTTTCCCAATTGAATTATAAGAACTCCATGTAAAACCGACAAGTCAAGGTCCTCAAAGTCTTTCCTTCTTGTCGGGTATCATGGGGAACTAAAGCTTAACCTTTCTGGTTATTATACACGGAATATATATATATATAAGGACCATACTACCCCAAAAAAGGTTCAAGGTTACCTACTCTACTACTAGGTCAGGGTTGCTTTGAAAGGCTTCTAGAAGGGGTTTTTGTAAGAGTTCTCAGATATAGGGACCTTAACAACAATTCGAGTAGGGTAGCTGGGAATAACGGGTCATAGTTTAGAAGGGGCCCCCACCCCGTAATAGTGGCATAATAGGAATATAATAGGGGTGGGGGCAGCTTCTAAGTCATAGTTTTCTAAGTCTAATGAGGACACCTACCTAGGTATATATCCGTAATATAGCTATTATGAACCCACTATATAGCCCATTATAGGGTAGGGGTCCCCATTAAGGGTCCCTCCTTTTCCCCTTTGAAAGTCTAAAGCAGACAGTGCAGGACTGAGGCCTCGACCCCGGCAGCCCAAACAACTTCGAACAATCTTGGCTTTTACGGCAGCAAAGACTAGGAAAGGGATCTCCCATATATTTTCCCCTTCTAATGAAGCCCAATAAGGTAGAGATATCTCTATAAAATGCTTATGGTTATGTGCTTTTCGGCCCCTAAGGCTTGGGCCTGTCCCTGCTCTCCCAACGTCACGCCACCACTCTCCACCTCCTTCCTGGGCGGTGTCCGGGGTTTTGTGAATTGTTTACCAGTTTAACGCTAGAAGCTGCTTATAAGGATGTAAGGGCGATTTGAAGCTTTGCGAGGGCTCAGGGTTTCCCCCGAAAGTCCCTGTATGACAATTCATATGCTATAAGATACCCCAAACCCGATTCCAGTCACTGCGGCACCTGCTCTGAAACAAGCACGTCAAACAAAACTGATATAAACGCTGAAGCAACGCTGATTTGTGGCAGGAAACGAAACGCAAAGAGCACAACGGCACATTGCTCCAGGATTCAGGCTTACAGCTAACGACTTGATTTGAGCGCTGAAACACTGAGGGCTTCGGGTTCGGAGCTCTTAAGACACAAGGGTCTCAGGTCTTCGGCAACCCTAAACCCTAAACTCTAAACCCTGACTTCTAAACTATAAACCCGAAACCCTAAGGCAAGCGCTTGGTGCATCTTGGTGCGAGGCTTGCAGGACCAGGGCTTAGGTTTTCTGGTTTCATTTGGGACTTTCCGAAAGTAGGGGACCCTGATATAGTACCCTGAATACTAGGATCCTTGTCATTAGGACCCCAGAATAAGGTACCCCTGATTTTCGGAAAAAACCCATTTCTGGAATCAGCCAGTCAGAAAAGGAAACTCGGAACGTTTCTACCTGATGGCAGAAAGCCCACTGGCCGTGTTTTAGGCAGCTATCCCAAGCTCAAGCAAGTTGAGCCCTGCCCATAGCTACTCAGCCCTAAGCTCCAAAACCCGAAGCCCCAAAACCCCTAAGCTCTAAACTCTAGACCCTAAACCCCAAACCCTAAACCCTAAACCCTACACCCTAAACCCCTAAACCCTAAAACCCTAAACCCCTAAAACCCCTAAACCCCTAAACCCTAAACTCTAAACCGCCCCTCTTGTTTCGTCCAGGAGCATGCGCGCCGCCAGCACTGCGGATGGGTTGCGAGCGGCCCTGGAGAGAGCTACGGTTGATGATATAAATCCTGCTGGGGCTCCTTCAAGGGGATCTATAAGGGTACCTTTAAGGGATTCCATTAAGGGATCTATACGGTCTTAGGGTTTAGGGGTATAAATCCTGCTCTACCCATAAGAAGGAATATGCCATAATTCCCATAGTTTAAAGTCCTTAAGGTAATGCAGGATTTGTATCATCAACCGTACTGCGTCGGAGATGTGCAAAGGTAAGCAAGCAAAGAGATACCGATACTACTTAAAGGGCTCCTTAAAGGGATCTTCAGGGTTCCTTGAAGGGATCTATGGGGTTTAGGGTTTAATACTATGTTGGGTATCTTAGAAGGGGCCCCGACTCTGTTATTGTGACTATAAGGATTATATAGGATTATATTAGGGCCTTATTATATTCCTATTATACCACTATTACAGTGGAGGGGCAGGGGACTTAGTAAGTAGCTTATAAGTAGAGTTATAAGTACCCCAAATGGAGTTACCCCAATTATGACACTACTTATAAACGACAAACTAAGTCCCCTGCCCTTCCAAGTAGGTCGCTGAGTAGCTCCTTCTTGGCAAGGGTACCCTTTTCCCTACCACCAAGTTTTCATAAGGGGACGCTAAAGCAAAAAAGTACAAAAGGGTACTGCTCAGGAACCTAGGTAAACTAGCATCTTGCCATTAAACACACAGCAACAGGGACTGGTCGGAAAATTGCTCAAATGCTCGAAAGTAGTGGTGTTCAAGATCATGGTCGTCACCATCATCACCATTAAAGTTTAGAGAGAGGGCTTAGCCTGCTGTCATTTTCGCCCACTGATGATACTGCTGCTTTTTGCCGGAAAAACTGTCGCAGCAGAGACTAAAGCAGTATCTTGCCCAGTGTCCTGCTGTACTGCCCGCATAAACCTACTAGAACCTATTCCCCTAAACCTAAACCCTAAACCAAATCCTCAGAATTTGCAACCCGAACACCCAGAAGCAGTCAGTAAGGACAGCCTCAAGCTCCGAAGTCTAAGCATCCCGACAACCTACGCCTTTCAACCGAAAGC